AAGGATAGCTCTTGCAACCTCATCCTCCATAGCCAAGAACTGAACTCAAGCAAGGAAGCTCCAAGGAGGAAGATTAAAGGGAGAAAAAGGCTAGGAAAAGTGAGAAAGATTAAGGTAATGACCTTGTATTAACTTTTCCTTTATTTTTCCCCTAACCTATGAGATACATATCTTATGGAGAACCCTTGAGGTTGTTCTACATGCCAATAGTGTGGAATAATGGGTTGGGGAGTAGGTCTAAGTCCAAGAACGGACTTAGAAGCCAAACCGACCGGTTCACCGGAAAATAACCTTTTAAGGGTTATGTGTATTGATTAAGGTTTTATGATGTTAAAACCTTGTTAGGAGCTTGATTTAGAGTATCTTTGAGCTTCGCCGGAGTTTCGCCGGAGTTGGTCAAAGTTGGCCGGAGTTGGTCAAAGTTCACCGGAATCGGTCAAAGTTCAACCGCGGAGCGTAGAACACGCTTAAGCTCACTTAAGGTGAGGATGACCGACTATATTGCTTATAATTATTGGGTTAATTTCATAAGATTACCTAAATGAATTATATGTGTTTGGCATGATTTATTTATAATAAAAAGATGCCTAAATGAGATTATTATTGTTTACAAGTAAAAATGCATAATATACAAATTTATGAACAAATTGTGTATGATTGTGTGTTATGAATACAATGACATCATAGTGGTGTAAACTATAAACTAAATTGTGATAAATATACTTTTACCTCATGTAAGAAAGTCATGGAAGGATAAAAGTGATATTTTGATATTAGAGCCAAGTTATACTTGAATGAGGAATTTAATTGAAATATCCAAATTGTTATGAACTCAAGTTACATTTGGAGTAAGCCTTAGGGGTTACTCAAAATGGATGGAACCTAGACTAAGAAGTGGTTTAGGGATTAGTTGACGTGACTATGAGCCGAGCTCTAGCACGTGGTAGGGTGACTATGAGCCGAGCTCTAGCACAAATTAGTATGACTATGAGCCGAGCTCTAGCAAGCGTAGGGTGACTATGAGCCGAGCTCTAGCACAAATTAGTATGACTATGAGCCGAGCTCTAGCAAACGTAGGGTGACTATGAGCCGAGCTCTAGCACAAATTGATATGACTATGAGCCGAGCTCTAGCATGGAGGACATGAGTTAATCATAAATGAATAACATCTTAGATTGAGGGTCTTGGAAATTGAAACTTTGATTATACTTAGTATAGTTGTCATTGTACTTGTCAAATGCTTCCAAGTACTGACCTCCCCTTCACGGGGGAGGCCACCTCACAGTTTCAGGTAGGGAGTAAAGCTTGCTGCCATCACCGTTGCTCGGGTAGGATCCAAGAAGAGGAGACGTGGTTCGTGCCTCTTCAGATTCCATTTTTCAAACACTTTAATTAATGCTCATGGATAATGTTTTTCTATTGAATATTTAATGGGGGCTTGTATGCCCATGTTTGCCAAAGTGTGGCATGAACACTTGTACCAAATGTTTCCGCTGCTTTGAATGAATATTTTACATTATGTTTGTTTATGGATGTACTATGCGTGATTGATATCTCGGACGCCTTGTATAGTATGAATGTGTTGGACTGCGGTTGACTATTCGTACTGTACGGCGGATTGTTGACGTGTCCGGATAGGTCCGGGGCGTGACACAAGTAACATGAGTTGTGAGTTCGTACAACGATGTCCTGGTCCAAACTTCTCATTGCAAGAGAAGCAAAGACCCAATGATCTCCTTCGTTGCATCTCGTCCCAGGGTAATCGTTTAATAGACGTGTTTGGTTTGATTGGTTCCGGCCGGATGACTAGTGGAGGGCCAAGAATTCCGGCAGTGGTGGGCTGTTTTGGCGTTGTCGTTCGTGCATAGCTGGATCCCCGGGTGGCTAATTGACATTTCTCTTCCACTAGACGTGCCAGTCCAAAAGCTTCGTCCAGAGTTCTGGGCTTTCGAGTCTTGACCTCCAATCGAAACTCATCCCTCAAACCCCCTAAAAATGAACCAACCAGAAAGTTCTCGGGCAGATCATCAACTTGATGGGACAATTGCTCGAACGCCTCTTGATAAGCAGCAACTGTGGTGGACTGTTTTAGTCGGGAAAGTGCTTCCGAAGGGTCAGAAAACGCTGTGGGTCCAAACCGAGTGCGAAGAGCCCTGACAAACTCCTCCCAAGTTACAGGTCCCCGTCGCTTAAGCAGCCAACGGTACCACTGCAGGGAGAGTCCCTCAAGATGCATGGATACAAGCCTGACTTGTCGATCTGGGGCAACATCATAGAAATCAAAGTATTGCTCTGCTTGGTAAATCCATCCAGTTGGGTCCCCGTCACTGAACCTCGGAAATCGTGCCTTAGGTTCATGAAGGCGAGAACCATGTCGTGTGTGGTCGTCCGCAAACGGATTCTCCAAGTGAAGGTCTGGGTGTTCCCTGGCAACCCGATTTGCTTGTAACTCGGTGTTGATAGCCTGTAGAGTGGCTAGCTGCAATTTGAGCAAATTGATTGTCATGGCGTGCAATGGCCTCTTGCATTTCGGAACGGAATTCTGCGTTGGATTTGCCACGGGTATCCATGGCTCTGATACCAATTGATAAGTCCCAGGCAGAACTGATAAATTGACAGACTGAATTCTTAAGAAAAGATGAAAGGATTTGGAGAAGAAGATACTTTGGAGCAAGAAGAACGTGTATATTTTTCCTCCCCCCATTTACTTACATAACAGACATAAATACATAAATTGGAAACCCACTACTCCTAAAAGAGTGGCACTACTCTACGTGACTACTGCAAAGAAATGGGATTTAAAATGGAAATAATGAAAACTGTAAAACAATGATAATAATAATTAATAATTCAGGCCTAATAAAGATGCCTAGCCTAGTTGAGAGTCCATCCATGCGATAAGTGAGTTAACGTAAACTTGATCACCAAAATATTTGGGATTGGGCCTTCCATGACGACTGCTCCGCCTTGGTTCATCAGTTTGCAATCACCTGTGCTTAAATAAAAGCACTTTTGAGAAAAAAGTGATTAGTAGTAAAAGTTGGTAGTGTTTGGTAAAATAAGTGCTTTTTGTGTAATAGAAAAAGTAAAAAGTAGATTCTTCACGAAAGCCGAGAAAGTAAAAGTTGATAGTGTTTGGTAAAATAAGTGTTTTTTTCTTAAAAAAAAGTTAGAAGCAATTTTTTTAATTGATTGCAAACAGACTCTAAGTTTTCTATGAGAAGCCAAATTTAGTTAGAACACTTGATGAGAAAGTTCATGAAACTTTATCAAAAGCTTTTGCCACATCTTGCTCATGAGCCAAACTAATGTCCACTTCTGTCCGTGTTCTATAAAGCCTACTTGTTCATTTGAAATAGTATGAGGTAGAGAGGACAAATGGTCTGAATTATCCAAAAGTTTGGTTGATAGTTGATACACCTTTGGATAAGGGATCCGGAGCCTCTACCTTACTTTTAGAGTAAGGTAGAATACCTTACTTTAGAGTAAGATAGAGTGTCTTGCTTTAGAGTAAGGTAGAGTACCTTACTTTAGAGTAAGATAGAGTGTCTTGCTTTAGAGTAAGGTAGAGTGTCTTGCTTTAGAGTAAGGTAGAGTGTCTTGCTTTAAAGTAAGGTAGAGTGTCTTGCTTCCTCCCGGTCGTCCGATCGACAATTCAACGGTTAGAGATCTTGGGCTCCATTTTTTCGCCGATCTCGAGGGTGCCTTGCGCATCAGACGGGAGGGGAGCGGCCAACACAACCTCGAGATCGACGAAAAAGTGGAGCCCAAGATCTCCAACCGTTGAATTGTCGATCGGACGACAGGGAGGAAGCAAGGCACTCTACTTTACTCTAAAGTAAGGTAGACTGGTAGAGGCTCCGGATCTTGGGATAAATACCATCAAGAACTTGACATTGCTTAAGAGATGGGAATACTCGAGGGAAAAACATTGACAGCAAGGAAAACATCTTTGCCAATAATAATAATTAATAACCCAACATTAGCCTATAGAATTTTCATCCAAATGTATCCTATTTAGGAGTAGCGTTCCTTTAATTATCAAGAACGGATATAGATGCATTATCTTGGTCTTGCGTTGTATCATGAATGTGTGTAGGCAAAGGATCCAAAAAAAAAAAAATCCAAATCCATATATTCCTCTTCGGACAACATTACACATTTAATCCGTATTAAACAAAAGCAATTCACTAAATTTAAGGAAAGACATTTGGTACGAATAAAAAGACTTCAAGGAAATACTTCCTCCATCCCAATTTTCTTGGTCAACACAATTTTACATTTTCAGCTTATTTAGTATATCAATTTTTTATTGCATAGTATATTCTCATTTTTTATTCTCATTTTAATGGAGTTTTCAATACAACAACATCCAAGCTTTTTTCCCAAAAGATTTTGTGGTGATTTAACTTTATCATCAATTAAATTAATAATCCAAAAATTGCAATTCAATTTGGGATAAAGGAAATATATATTTTAGCCTCCACCAGCCAGTTTGGGAACATAAAGGGCAACCCAGGTGCACCACTCTTAGGCTTTGTTTGCAACCACTTAAGAAAAGTGATTTTGACTTCTTTTTTTTAAGAAAAAAAGCACTTATTTTACAAAACATTACCAACTTTTACTTTCTCGACTTCCATGTAGAATATCTTTTTTACTTTTTATATTACACAAAAAGCACTTATTTTACCAAACACTACTAACTTTTACTACTAATCACTTTTTATCAAAAAGTGTTTTTATTTAAGCACAAATGGTTGCAAACAAAGCCTTAAAGAACTATGGTGCTATGAACTGTTTTTTGCAGGAAAAGTCCGGTATAGAACCAATTTATGGCAAAACTTCCATAAGTAGAAACTAGTTTCATATGAAGTCATCATTTTTTTGCACAACCTTCTACCAGTCTGAGAAAACAAGAAACAGTAACTAGCCAGGTACTCAAACCACATAGGGGGGGGGGTATAGACTAACCAATTACTCCTGCCAAATAAGTATATTTTCTAATGACTTGTGGAGAGGTATACCGGCATAATGACCCTACAATTACATGCTATTAATATAAGCCAACGGGAAAGCTGGGACTAGTAAAATATTAGAAATGGCCAAGAGTTTGATGGGGGCATCAAAACTGGTGTGAAATGTGTGACACGAAAAATGAAAGAACAAAAACGATACATAAATTATGTGACTGTAAAGGGAACTTACTAACTGAAGAATAATAAGGATACAAGGAAGACAACACAAGGAAATCACGTTCCAACATGAATATCTCATCAGTTAGATGATTAGATCTACACAGTGGCTCTGGTTAGATTTCATTTTGGAGGCCATCATCCTATAAGGATATTCTTTGGTTCTTTTAAAGTTTTTATCACTATTTTGATGTTGTTACGTGCACTACACATCGAGCAGGTCTTTCACAGCCTTTATAAGCGTATGAGTCTCATGTAGACACCAGTGCTCTGATGCCTTTTACCATAAGTTATGTGTAACGAGTAAATCAACGTGATCGAGATCGCATAAATTCTTCAAGCTTGTCCCACACCTCAAGAGCAGCTGCTCGGTCCTGGTGTCGCTTGTTCTTGCTAATCTGCACAACAAATATAACACTTCTGATAACAAGTTCACAAAACATGAAACTTGATAGTAACTCATAGTCCCTTTTGTAGTATAATACTCCGTACTAGTCTACTAGATAGCTAGCAGCATAACAAGTAGATCAGGCTCAAAAACAAATTTGCCTACCGAAATAATCTTGACGTTCCATTGCATTACAGTTTTTGCAGACTCGACACTGTCATCCTCGAAACGCAAGTAGAAACCAATAACTGCAACCAAAGCCAATACAGAAAAGCTCAATCACTTATGTGTGCAAATAGTAGATTCTTCTGACAAATGCAGTCAAATAAATCAATATGCCAACATTAACAACCCGGTCAATTGAAACTATACCAGTGACAGTAAAGTCCAATCTTTTTTAAGTTTTTGGAGCAAATGAGATGAAGTGAAACGGTAACTCAAGCTCATGGTAAATTTGAGTCCATGTGTAGTGATACACTATATCAGAACTTACTCTTATTAAAGATTTCTACATGATCCTTAAAAGGCCAACTTTTGAACTGCCATTCTTTCCCCAGCACAAAAACAGCAACTACTCGATCCCAGTCTTCAGCCTTTAATGCGGATGGCTTGTCCCTGACCTCATAGGCTGTGACCACCCTGTCTCTACTGAACTTCTTCTGCACGGTCACACATTCTGGCTTTTGACCATTCATCTTCTTCAACTTCGCATCTGTGGAAATATACACACCATCCTCCAAAAACTCCTTCACATTGTATATAGTAATCAATGTAGAAAATGCACTCGGAACCAGAATGATAGGCACCCCCTCCCCAATCTTGCTCCCCTTAAAATGCATCTTAGTCTTCATACCTCCATCATACCCCATATCCTCGCCACCTCCGTACCCAATCCCTCTCTCCAACCGACTTTTCGCCACCAATCCATCTTTCCTCTGCAAAGCCTCTTCCCTCTGTCTCTCTTCGTCCCTCCGCACAGCTGCAGTCAAAACAGTATAGAAATCTCGGTTCCTACATAGCAAAATTGATTCACGGTCCTTCAACGGCCTTTCGATAGCCCGAATCATATCCATAGGGTTTTGCCCATCCAAACCCCAGGTATCAGGCATATCGTTACCCTCAGCGTATGCATTGCCATAATTCTCAGCTCCAGCTATAGAAGGAACCGCCGGAACGGGACCTGCGTCGTACTTGATGAACTCGATGGAATCGGAAGAAGATATTTTCCCAGTGAGGTAATCGACGAGGGGCTTGCGGTCTGGGAGAGTGACAGGATGAATCCGATTCGACCGGGCATGCTGAATGTAATCGGTGTGCTTGACCTGGGTGTTAGTAATGAAGTGGACTAGGGTTTCGAGAGTATAGCGATTCCCCTGCTTCGAGCGGTAGCCGGTCTCTATAGAGCCGGGGAAGGAGTAGTCGTTCCCAAATCGGAACTCGTCTCCGACTCGAGAGATCCGATCGAGTTCGTTGCGGATTGTGTACTCGCGGAGGAGCATTAGCGGATCCATGGCAGTGAAAGGTGGGGAAATCTGAAAGCTGATAGGGTGTGACGAGCTCCGCTGGATGAATTTACAGTCCTCGGCTATTTTAGTGGTTATTCGGATGTTCAAAGCAATACTGAATACTCCGTAGTAGTCCGTACTTCGTAAGATGTCTTGGAATGTTTTTACTTTGCACACAAATTTGATGGTCTAATCCTGTGTGAATGGATCTGGTATGTTGTGATAAATGTCTAGTCTTTATTTATAACTATCCAAATTTAGTCTGATCTCGTTTGGTCAGATAAATGTCTAGTTTCTATTTATAAGTATCCAAATTTGATCTTATCTTGTCTAGTCTGGTGTGACCTGGTCAGGTTTGGTCTGAGATTGAAAACAATCCAAGTAAAAACATCCTTAGAACGAAGTCCATTTTTCCGTACCTAAATTTTCAATTTCCAAGTAAGCTTTTGTTTATTCGTATAATTTTATTTATGAGAATTGCCCTAAATAGTGGTTAAAACATTTTGGAATTCTAAAATATGATTGTTATGTTTCACTTTTCGAAATATGACTCATTATAGCCATGATTGAAAAAATATTGTCATTAATGATAATATTTTTCTGTCATTTTAAGGACTAGTACAAGAACTATTTTAACAATTATGACTTAAAGAAAATAGTGAATATTATTATGTTATTTCTATTTCTGAAAGAAAAACATATCAATTCTATTTTAAAATTCCAAAATATGTTTACTTGTATTACGAGAATTTTTCATTTATTTAATAATTCGACAAAAACATCCTAAAAGAGATTTTCCAAACATGGTTGATAGAGGAAATAAAATAGTGCAGGTTTGGCCTGTGGACACACTTCACATGCTTTATTCAACTTCTTTTGAGCATAACTAACACTAATAGAAGGTAATAATTTAAGGACTCGGTCCGAAGGATGACCCAAACAACGATGCCACAATTCAAATTTCGTCAAAGCTGGTGTCTGAACTGCATGAATAGCGGTACCCCTCAGAAATAAAAGAGCTCATCTCCCCTTTCACCTGCTCCAATCAGGTTCCTCGAGCGTAGGTCCTGTATAGCACACAATGTATTAGTAAATGTGACAAGACATTCAGATTGATCAGTCAACTGTGAAACAGAAATAAGATGACACTTCAATCCAGGCACATATAAAACATGTTTATGAACAAGGTCTTTGGAGAGTGGTACAGAACCCTCCAACACAACATCAACTCGTCTACCATCCGGTAGACCCACCGGACATGCGTGAATTTTTCAGGGGCCAATGAGACATGTAGGATTACCTGTAACATGATGTGAAGCTCCGGTGTCAATGATCCAGTCAATAAAAACGGAAGTCTTACCCGTCATTCGGTCCCGAGAGTCGGTGTTAATTAAGTTTAAAAGAGCTTGGACCTGCTCTTTACTTAATTGAGCAAGCTGCTGACTTCGTTGTTGGCTCCAGAACCTGCGGCGGAGCTTCCCACATCACGTGTGCTGCTCGGTGCATGCTCGACAGAAACAGCATGCGTGCGCACACCTCCCTTGCGGCCTTCAGTATGTCCTTTGACCTTATTCCTGTCCTCCCACCAGTCGGGATACCCGTGTAACTTGAAACAATTATCCACATCATGCCCCTTTTGCTTGCAATGAGAGCAAGTGGGCCTTGGGTGATCCGGCCTATCATCCCTTCCCTTGGCAGCCCGTTCAGTACGGTCAGCCCTAAGAGCCAGGGCCTGCAGGTCTGCACGTTCAGTTTTTAGAGTAAAAGCTTGAAGGTCCGTCGCTACAGTCTTTTCACGCGCCACCGCCCGAGAATTTTCCTCTTGTAAAAATGCTTGGTGCGCTCGATTGATGTCCGGAAAAGGGGTATGAGACAGTAGGTTAGACCGTACTGTCCCGTATAAATCATCATCAACCCCGATGAGGAATTGATGCAGCTGCTCTTCCTCACAATCTGCCGTGAACTTCCCGACAGCCCCACAGGTACACAGTCCGCAGGTGCACGTGTGTAGGGGCTTCAACCGCTGCAATTCATCATACAAACACATGAGGTTCGTATAGTAGGTATCAACGGTCATTCCCTTGGCTTGCTTGCACCCTGTAATCAACGCACACAATTGCTGCAATCTGGTCCCATTAGCAACAGTGTAACGTTTCTCTAAATAGACCCAAAGCGCCCGTGCTTCATCGTTGAATGGAATGGAAGCCGCGACAGTAGGTTCCATGCTCCGCATCATCCACGAGACCACCATAGAATTTATGGTGTCCCAATCAAGTTTCTTAGCCGCCTTTGCCGGCTCTTTCATCGTTCCGTTGACGAAAACATATTTCCGAAGAACTTTCAAGGAGAGCGCAAAAGCTCGTGACCATCCCGCGTAGTTATCACTTTTGAAAATTATGTGTGTAATTAAGTTTCCGGGCTGATCACCCGAGCCCAAGTAATACGGCGAGGTAGGATCACCCATGTCCGCCGAATAGGAGCACGCTGGTGCGTATTCGGGAAGAAGACGGGGTCTGCGCAATCAGCCCTTGCGGCGCTCTGATACCATGCTATAAACCATATGTAGTATGGAGAATATTATTAGGGCTTAAAGCCGTGTCCTGCTATGCACAATTACATGGGGTATTTATACAATAAAAACTAAACTAAAGTGAGCCCTTAGCCCAAAAATAATAAAATTCAACTATACAATTACAAGGCCCATGCGTACGTCTAAGAACATGGTAGGAATTCAAGTATTGTTTTTTTACTTATGTTTACGTCTATCCAAAGAAATTGTTTTTTTTAACATCAGAAATGAATTCAAGGAAATCATAACCCTTAATGAGTTGTTAATAAAGTGATTGTGACCGCGTATGTCACATTGATGCAAATATGGAAGAAAACTACTAGAGATACACCCTACGAGGTACACCCTACGTTGTACTACTTACACTCCGTCTATAAATCTTAAAATTTACCATTTTTAACACTCCTCTCCCTCATCTTTGGTCCATATGGTTCTCTCATCTTTTTATCTTCTTTTTTCTTTCATCATCGTCTTCATATCTACTATCACCTTTTTTTTTTTTACTATTTCCATCTTTTTCATCTTCAATCTCCACCCCTTTTCACCTACACCTCATCTTCCATCTTAATTCTTACCTACTTCACCGGAGTATGAGTCTCTTGAAAATGTCACCTGAATAATAAATGAAGTTTGAGAGTCACCGGAAAATCACCAGAAAAATCATACATAATTTTGTTTGTATCATTTATAAAATATTGTCTGTAATTGTATCATACACAATACTAGATAGTGATATACTAGTATATCTCTATACGGAATAATAAAACTAAAAAACTAGTAAATATTGTATAATTGTGCCACAAGTGAAAAATGCATGTGTTCAAACAAAATTAAGTTGTTTGTGCACACAAACAAAAATATTACATACAGACAAAATATGTATATATTACAGTAATTTTTTGCTTGTATACAGACAACTAATGTTTGTATACATGCACCGGATTAAGTGTAAATCAAATTGATTTTTGTACTTTTTTTTACATAAATGTCAGGGTTAGGTTGCACGGAAACCTAACCCTGGCGTACACAAGCATTAATTGCCTCTATACACACAAAAAAGTGTCGGTACATATACAATTTCGTCTGTGTCCACAAACATTAGTTTCCGTCCAACTTAACTCTGACTTTTCTACATCATTTTATGTTTGTGTACACAGACAATATAAGAAAACAATATCTCAAACAGTATCTAGTCGGGACTGAAGCTTGTACAAGCATGGTGCGAGTTAATTCCAATACATGACAGTGTTTGCGCTCAGCAACACCGTTTTGTTGAGATGTGTCAGGACACGATTTTCGAAAATAAATTTCCTGAGTAGTAAAAATATGCATAGTGTGTGAAAAAGTGTACACCAAGCATCTTCTACTAATAAGACACAGAATTCACTCAATACCATGTCTATGATCAGTATGACGCACATAGTTAGACAGATTCTCAGTTGTGCGTGCCTTTTCCATCAATCTCCATGGGCTCTAATACTATTGTCAATAAAGAAAGAAGAATGATCATCCAGTCGTGCACTAGTTTATTGATTCCTGAGTGGACTCAAGTCACTTAACAACATGAATTAGTGGTACATTGGTACATATACATAAGAGCCACGCTTAAGTAGTTTGCTACATTAAATGAAAATGAATAAAAAAGAACTACTATTAAAAAGAAAAACATATAGGATAATGGGCGAAGTCGAGGAGTCTCGTGAAGCCCGGCCCACTCCTGTGAGTCCGTGCTATTAAAAGAATGTCGTACAAAATTACACGAAATATTTTAGTTCAAGCTAAGACGTGCCTCTTTTGTATAATGAAAAGAGTACTTTCGAAGTAAAAACATCATATCATAGTTTAAATAAAACATCATAGTCCGTATAAATGAATGTATATCTCTTTCATGTTTAACTAATACTATTACGTATGAAGAATGAATGTATATGCATCTCAATAGTGATGCAGCCAAGAGACAAAGTGGGATGACGACCGGTACAAATGAACTTTTTATAAACTTTTTACACACAAAAAATTATGCATAAGATAAAGGGTTTTTCCAAATTTGGGTGGTTCATGCCTCGACATGGCTCACCCCTAGCTATATCCAAAATAATAATGCTACTTCCGTTTCTTTAGTTGCAAACTTGCAATTGTTTGACTTTCACAGTGTTAACCCATAACTTTGACTATTAGCATATCTAGTTATACAAAAGTATTAAAACTTATAGAATGTTAGTATAATGGAAAAGCTAGTAATAATTCATTACATGAAATGATATATATATATAATATATATATATATATATAATATATATATATATATATATATATAATATATATATATATATATATATATATATATATTGGATCATATAGAAAACACAACTTCCCATGAAAAGTAAGAAGTAATCTTAACCCTAAGATTCTTCATTAATGAAAAGGCATGGTCCTGATTTTTCAAGCTACCAAAGGGGTAATCTTGTCTATCCGATTATTCCCTTCCGTTTTCCACAACTTTCAAATTGGTAAGTACGAGTATATATTTATTCCCATACGTTATTACTCACTTTCCATTTTTTTTATAGTTGACGTGTGATTAGGTGTATTTGCACGGCCAAACTCAACAATCACACACACAAATACTTAGCACAACCTTTTCACTTTTAATATTCATTTTTTCACATTATATGTCCACCCTAAAGTTCCTAAACTACAATCAATAATATACACCTACTTGTACACCATTAAACTTTACGATGTCCACTTTTTAACTAGCTCAATGCACAATTACCAAAAACATTACATCCATATTGAGCATTCTCACGATCCTCGCCATGGTACTACTTGTGTACCAATCTAATTCACTATTATTTTATTTACCAAAATCTACAATATTGGGGAAATTTAAATTCCACTTTCATAATAAGTTAATTAAATCACCAATCTGCACTTTTAAAGGTAACATTTCCACTTATTCTATTCATTTACATTTTTCACATCCTCGTATGCCACTTTTTAGCTTTTCTTCCTCTATTTTGTCTATGTCAGTCTCCACCGCATCCAAAGTGGTCTTGCAATCATAAATTAATATATTATTTTATCTACACTTATGATATTCCACAATCAACATACCCATAACGTGTCCATTTTAACACGTTTTGTCTCTTATTATCCACATGTAAGCCATATGTGTAGACAAGTGCAACCCTCTGCACTTTCCAAGCCAATGACAATTAATTGGAGATGGGAAAGATGAACTATCACTGTATTTTATTATTATTAAGATCAAGTTCTATGTTTTTAAATTGGTAATAAAAGGAAAAGACAGTTACACCCTTTGTATTGTGTCTCTTCTAAATTTTATAATCAAGGAAATAATCTGCTCACATTAAATGCACCATATCACCGAAGCAAATTGTATGTCCACGATTTCTTCTTATTTTTCATGTTAGAGGGTGTTTTTATGTGATATATATATATATATATATATATATATATATATATATATATATATGAGGAATGATCAGGTCCATCCGGAGGGACGGGAAGTGTCGTCCGAACTTTACTGTTTGAGGCGGTTCCCAGTGGATTTTTTTGATGAAATGTTTTTACCATGTTCCCCATCCAGTCTAGTTTATCCATACCAAATTTCAGCTCAAAATTCGATCGGGAAGGCATTCAAATAAATTCTTGAAACATACTGCACATTATATGTGCGCAGAATGTGCAGTATGTTTCAAGAATTTATTTGAATGCCTTCCCGATCTCATTTTGAGCTGAAATTTGGTATGGATAAACTAGACTTGATGAAGAACATGCTCAACAAATTTCATCAAAAAATTCCATTGGGAACCACCCCAAACAGTAAAGTTCGGACGGAGCCTCCCGTCCCTCCGGATGGACCTGAGCATTTCTGATATATATATATACACACATACATGCATGTAAAATGTGTAGTAAAGTAATTTAAGTAAGGCATATGAATAGTTCAAAAGTTCGATTAATAAAGAAGGAAGAGAACAGATTTATTAACTTTCTTTCTAAGCAATTAAAGAGTTTCTTTTTACTTCTTACGTAATACTCCGAAGTTTTTATGTCTAATTTTTATTAAGTATTACTATGTACTTCTATTCTTTTATTACCTCTGAGACTCAAAAAGTATATGAATCCGGAGTATGATTTTTTCACCTAAGCCTAGCTCAATCCATTATTAACCAAGTCAAATGTATAGAGGATTGATGGGAAAAGGGTCAAATAAGCACCTCTACTTCTATGAAAACATCATCGAAGCATATGTACTAAATAAAACATCACATAGGTGCATTTACTATCAAAAAGCAGTCAAAGAGGTCCTATGACCGGAAACCAACCTCCTACTCCAGGTTAGAAACATTTTTTATTTTTTATTTTGCTTTATTCTCTTGCTTCACAATCTTTTTAGTTTCTTCTTTTGTTTTTTTTCTCTTTCTTCTTTTTCAATACTTCAATTCAATAGTCTCCCATTTTCTGATTTTCTCTTTGCACGTAACTAGATTCTCACCCGTGCGATGCACGGGTATCGCACGGGACATGAAAATGTAAAAGCTACTCCGTATATGATACTATTTGTTAATAATACATTAGTTCACGTGTAAATGAATGAAAATCGATAAAGGCATAATATGCATAGTAAATTATAATTAAAGAAATGACAGTGAGGATTCATAGATTGGTAGTAATAATGTTTTAGAATAAGTTGAAATAAATAAATGTCATACGTAGTATAAGATTTCCACAGTCTATACATTTCGAAACACTTCCTATAAAACAACATTGGTGGAATGATGAGTTTGCTCTCCATCTTCACCGCAAATCAATATTTTCAAACCCTTGTGACTTGTTACTCTTAATACTGCAGTATAAAGTTGATCATTCTCAATATTTTCATGTAATTGTTTCTTTATTTTATTAATACTTCTTTATTTTATTATTAAAGTATATTTTAAATATAATTTTTTTCATAAATCAGCATAATCAACCAATACAGTCACTTTAGTCAGAACTCCATAAATTTCACCAGAATCAGCCGATTTCAGTGTTACCAAACGGGCTCTAGGTCGCTGATTCTTATGTATATTTTATTAACATTTTAAGTCCATAAATTTAATTAATAATCAATAAGTTTCTTAATAAAATTATTTGAATATAATATACTCCATATATAAAATACATAATTTATTACTTTGGATGCAATACTTTTACCAATTTAATACGGAGTACTTAAAGATTATAAAAAAGATGTTCATTGATAATTTTTTCAAAAAAAGGGCCACTTTAGAACTTGTAAAATACACACCAAATTTAAAATCAGTTTGAATGCCATTGCAATTCCAAACCCCACACACATTCATAAGGAGTAGTACGTATGTAACCAACTCAAAACCCAACTACCCTTATTGAATATCCTTGGCCTTTAACATTTCAAAACCCACTACGGAGTATTTATTTTTTGACAGAACACGGAGTACTTTTTAGACATATACGAAACCCTAACACGACATATATAAACTCATTATAACCCAACGCCGCCTTATTCATTCGTACACAAACCGTCCAGGCAAAGAGACATCGGTTAATCCGATGCACTCCGCCTTCGCCTCCGCCTCCGCCGACCACCATTCGTCCCCATCCTAACTTCGTACACCATCTGTATTTCCACACCAGAGGTAACGGTGAAACTGCTATCCTAGTGCACCGTGATTTGCATCCAAAAAGTAGAGTCATCGGTTAATCCGATACTTGTTGGTGATTGAACCGGAGTCTCCGACGGAGGCGTAGATGTGCGATGTATACGGGTTACATAATTGGCCGGTCTGTGGAACATTTCTAACAGTGATTGGTACACTCCCACGTCTCTTTTGGGTTTCATTGGATATGAAACGTATTTGTTAGTTACTTCGTATCTCATACTTACGATTTTATGGAAAGAAGTTGTTTGTTTGATGTTAATCTTTTTTGTTCTTACAAAAAACTTTGAAAAATCTTTCTATCAGGTTACCTTGTTTGTCCAATTAATTTTTAATTTAAAAAAAAAAGTTTAGGAAACCACCTTTTTGTGGCTTAGATCTGTTTACATATCATATGTGTAAATTTGCACAACATAAGCGACACACACACATAAATATATGTGTGTGTATAAATATAATGAGTATTGCAGTACCTATATATGTCACACATTCTACTTGATTCACAATTCTAAGAGCATAACTATTTTGATAATATGTGGGTTTGTTGACTATGGATTGTTTTATGATAGACATACACAGATACATAGTATGTATACGTAGTACTAAGTATATATAAGTTTATTAGTTTATATCAATCATTACATAAATGGATTTTTTTACAATGATGTATATGCTCTTTTGTGAGATGATCTTATAAGATATTTTGTTTCAAAATCATAAATGAATTCCTTATATGATTGTTAATGCCTTTAAGTCTATTTATATTGTGAAGATGGAACCGTTGGTCAATCATCATTGGTAAATAGCCAGTCAATATACATTCCTTTAATCAAAGCATTGATGAGTAAAAAACCATTTTCAAATAGTATGATTTCTTTTATAGCTATACTCATTTTTTTACTTATGAGTCAATTGAAACTGTTTAGAGCATTGTTTTGATCATTTCCAACACTTCTACAATATTGAACTATACATGTCCTTCTACTAAATGGGTCTTCTAGCCCCAAATGTAGAAACTATACTAAATTAAACCCTGGTGTGTGAACTGGTTTTTATGAACCTTTACCATGGGACTGTCCTGACTGTCCTGCTAACCACCTCAGTGGCATTTGGATCTTCCTGATCTGGTAGCCTCTTTGGCAGAAAAACCTAAAGCCCTTCTAAAGCCAATGTTCTCTATTTTCTTTACTTGGAGATGAAAGTCTTCAGTTAAGGACATTAAACTTGAGTTCCTCTGAGAAATGGTTGTTAGATATTGTGTATTTCAAAATGTTTATTAAGGCCTTGTTGTGATACCTATTATTACCATTATATTTCAAAATGTTTATAAAGGCCAGACAATGATTTCCTTATTTGATTTCCTTAAAGGTTAATTAACCATCCTACTTTTTGTAACCTAATAGGTTACAACTATTGTAGCTATATAAACTGTGCCAGATGAACTAATTTCCTTAAAGGTTAATTAACCATCCTTAAAGCTTCGTGTTGCTCAATTTCAAACTCATGAGTCAATGATATTGTTTAAACCATAGTTTGAACTAATTTCATCCCAATATTTTGAACATAGTTTGAACTAACTTCATGTTGAACTACTGCAGGCTTGGTAATTCAAAACCAATATACTTGGTTCTTAATATTCACCATACATCTTGAGGGTTTGTAAGCCAAGCTATGTCTTTCTCTTATTTTTAGTTATTTTATTATGATAAAGATCTCATCCATTTACTCAACTGTATTTTGGGCTAGTCATTGAACACCAAAAGCTCTATCTAGTTGAATAGAACATGTGATAAAAACCATTTTTTTAAAATAATCACTTTCTTTTGGATGCATGTCGTCTCACTCATAGGTTTTCCCAGTTGTTAGAAGATATGTAACCTGCAAAAGAAAATTCTCAATCACTATTTTGCGTATCTGAGAATTTTTTAGCAAAAAATTAATAAAGTTGTATCATTGTGCTTACACACTCCTGTTTCATCCTCTCGAGAGATCTATAGCAATCCATTCATCCCCTCTTGAGTTATGCCCCCCTTGAGTTATACCTGCATTCATCAAATATCATTACATAGGATACTTAACAATAGAAAAATCCTATCACACTTTGAATGGATTAATGACCGTGTTCACCAACATCTTGGTTGTGGTGTGTATTCCACCCACCACTTGGGTATATATAGGGGCTGATGGGAGTCTCATATGAAGCAACCGGGTATTAACCAATGGTTAAATTCCTGCTTAATCTTTACTTTAATATTTTTTAGTACAAACATTTAATGATAGTACAATGCATTAAATGTTTTTGTGGCTCAAAGATTGCATGCGTATTTTTTGTGTGGACTCTAAGATTTTAAGTACAATGTAGATATTTTTTTATTCATAGCTGCTCAGTTTTTATTTTGATCTGGTCTGGTCTGGTCTGATCTAGTTTGATCTGGTCTGGGATAGATTACAGTCCAAATAAAAAGATCCTAATTATTTCAATAAACTATCATCTCTAACTCATAAATATGCTCGTTCTTAATAAAAAAAATATGTGAATTGTTATTACATATTAAAGAAAGAAAATTACCAAATCAGACCAGACAAGATTAGCAAATCACACTAGACAAGATTACCAAATCACATATTAAAAAAAAATATGTGAATTGTTATTCTCAATAAAAATATGTGACCTGGATAGTTATAAAAACACAAAGAGACTGGACATTACCAGATCAGACCAGACAAGATTAGCAAATTACAATCCAAGTAAAAACATCCTTAGAAAGAAATTTCAGCAACATTTCTTGGGGAAGACAACAAGTAGAAAAGAAAATAAGGGGGATAGGGGAAGAAAAAACTAAAAACACAAATTGTTATTTTTTATAACAAAAACATAAATTGTTAGAAATTGAAATGATGAAATGAAAGAACAAATCAAAGAGAAAATCACGAAATGGGAGATTATTGAATTGAAGTATTGAAAAAGAAGAAAGAGAGAAAAAAAAACAAAAGAAGAAACTGAAAGGATAAAAAACCGACGTGTGCAGGGCTGGATTGTGAAGCAAGAGAATAAAGCAAAATAAAAAATAAAAAATGTTTCTAATCTGGAGTAGGAGGTTGGTTTCCGGTCATAGGACCTCTTTGACTGCTTTTTGATAGTAAATGCACCTATGTGATGATGTTTAATTTAGTACATGGACTTGGATGATGTTTTCATAAAAGTATAAGAGTTTATTTGACCCTTTTCCGAGGATTGATTGAGAGCCATGAGAGGCTACTTGCCTAGAGAACATAAATCAGTGGAGAGGAGGCTGTAAACCACTGTGTCTCTAGATCTTCCCTTCAGGATCATGTACTTCCTCAAAAACCCTTCCCTCAGAAACCCACATTTCTCCAGCACCCTCTGAGAGCCTTTGTTTGTCACATCTACAAAAGCCTCAAGCCTCTCCAGGTGGGCCCACTCTGAGAAGATGGTAGATGCAACCATCCTGACTGCCCTTGTGGCAATCCCTTTGCCCCAATACTTGTGTGCCAGCACATACCCAAGCTCACCTCTGCAACTGTCATGCCCTGACCTGGGGGTCACAGATACTGCCCCAACTACTCTATTCTCAAGGCATATCACTCTTAACCATGGGTGTGGAATTGCATGGTTCTTTATGAAGTCAATGGCTTGGTCTTTTGAGGTGTAAGTATCCCATGAACAGAAAGTGGTCACTCTTTCATCTCCTGCCCATTCCATGAAATCGTCCAAGTCTGAAAGCTGTATTGATCTCAGAGTGATTTCTGGGGATTCTGAGTTTGAGGTTTCTTCTTCCATTTTTGATTGTTTTCTGCAATGTTTGGAGTCTCTTGAGTGGAGAATTCGTTTTGGATTCTCTCTGACCAATAAAGAATGGGTCAAGCTCAATATATAAACTTTCAAAAAGTGAGAAGAGACAGTTGAAAATTCATAGAATCTCAGCAACTTTCCCTATTCTCGTGGGTCAATTTCCGCCAAGATTGACTAAAATTTAAAAAGTATGAATTGTTGCAATATTGAGTATTGAGTCTATTGACAAAGCATACAACAATAATAAAAACCGCAAACTTATTATTTTAAAGAAGAAGTGACATAATTTTTGAAACAACTACCAAGGGAAAATTGTCAAAATTTAGCATCATCAACCAGATTAAATTACTTTTCAATAGTCCCCTGTGAACGGATGAACCTATCATACCTTTCACAGATCCTTACTGTCCACCACATAGGGCAGATCCAATCTGATTCTAATTCAGCCGGTTCAAGGTCAGATAAACGGTAGAACCGGAGAGCAAACAATTCTCGGGTCAATATTAATCTATAACCAACTTATTAGCCTATTTAAAAATAGGTAGTATAACTACAGCCGAATATGAAAACAGTTTCGTGCTATTTCTAAAAGGAGAATGAGTTTAGGCTGGATTGCTATATGGGATTCAATTTCTGAAAGAACAAAAAAACGGCCAATCTCGGAACTCGGAACTGATCCCTACCCACTGGGTTTCTCAAAGGCCTCCTAGGATATCCAAGAAAGGTACCACCCTTATTTCAAGTTTCAACACCCATGTACCTCCTAGGATATCCAAGAGAGCATGGTCAAAGTCTTGGGGTCCATATTATTCTTACACGATCTCTACTTTTTAATACAGAAAATAGGCTCCTGTTAATTCAAAAAACTACACAACTGGTATCAAATCAAATCTCATGTACATTTTCCCATAGTATACAACATCAGAACTATAACAATAGTTTTTTTAAATGAAATGATGATAATAAAATTCATAGCCTCATAATACCAACGCCATCAACCTATTTGCTCACAATACCATTCAATTACCAGATTTACCACTGTGGCATTGCGTATGCTCAGCAAGTCCATAGGTAAACATCATTTCATACACAACAGTGAGTCTACCAGAATAAAAGAGAAAGTTTCACTGCCAAATCATAATCATGCCCAACAAGCAATACACCTGGGCCACACAGCACCAGCTGGTTACCGAAAAGGAGAAAAAAGGCAGCAAAACAGGGTCACGTGGCATGCATTTCTTGAAACACCAGGACTTGTGGCTTAACTAACAGTGCGTTTGTTTTTCGGCAGATGAGCAGAAATGTGATCTCCAAATGCTGCATTTTGAAGCGTTTTGTGTTCAATGTCTATTGGCATTTTGGCTCGAACGCTGATAGCCAAACATAGTCTAAGTGCTAGCTAGCTAGTAGGTAGCATCAGATGTCTCCTTGTGATGTACTGGATGCTTGCGTCGAGATCGCCTGTGGCTTCTACCATGTTTTCGAGGCAATGTGTGGGATGAGTCTGGGGAGGATTGATGAGGAATCTCATTCACATTTTCAGAAGCCAGACCAAATACACAGTCAAATGGATCTGACACAGCATCATCACCGGCCCTCACCTGTAACAATAGTATATGAGACATTACGTTGGAGAACAAATAAACAGAATAAACAATGCAAACACAGCTAGTTTTGTGCATACTCAAATACTCAATATGTGCTTTTAAAAACCACTACAATTTTCTGCTATATTTGGATCCATACAACGGTAGGAAATGAAAGAAAATGTTAAGGAAAGTTATTTTCTTATGTTTGGATTTACCACGAAAAATGCAAAGTGAAATGAAATATAATTAATGTTTGTAACTTATTTACACGTGTTTAGATTGTTTGGCACTTATAAAATGCACATAAACAGATAAAAAATCAAACTAATACTAAAAGAGGAAAGAGTCGGTTTGTTACTCGAAGTTGCATAAAAAGGGTCAAATAAGTCCTTATATAGGAGGCTCTGTCCCGCTGTCGCCATTTGGGGAGGTTTCCGGTGGAATTTTTTGACGAATTTTTTTGAGCATCTTATTCATATAGTCTAATTTATTCATACCGAATTTCAGTTAATTCGGTATGAATTCTTGAATCGGGAAGACATTGAAATGAATTCTTGAATATAACTGTGCAATTAAATGCGCAATTATCTTCAAGAATTCATTTGAATGCCTTCCCGAATGCAGTTTTAGCTGAAATTTGGTATGAGTAAACTAGACTTCATGAATAAGATGCTCAAAAAATTTCATCAAAAAATTCCACCGGGAACCGCCCCAAATGGCGACGGCCGGACAGTAAGGACTTATTTGACTCTTTTTATGCAAATTTGAGTACCAAACTGATCCTTTCCTCAATACTAAAAATAATTTTTTGGTTTTGAAACAATATTTTGTTTTACTTAAAAGTTTCTTTCGTTTCGAATTTCTTTTATACTTTCATTCTTATTTTCTTTGCCTATCATTTTCTGTATTCCATACAGAGTCTTCATGTGTATTATTAGCAAATATAATGACAAAACCTCCAAAACATATACTGATGCTGTTAATTAGCACTAATGAAAATAATTACTTGGATTTCAAAGGATAATACTAACGCCAACCTTTTGTTCAAGATCATTTCTTCTGGAAGCATGTGAATCTTCTCTGTGGTTGGCTTTTTTCATGTTGATCCTCCCCAAATTAGTTGATGCATCCTTGTAGGAGTCATCTTCTGTCCGTTGGAAACTATCAAGCTTCTCACCCGAGAAATTCCTTAAGCGCAACCTTTGTGTCGGTTTGTCTGATGATGAATCATCATAAACATTCTCACAGAAGAAATGTTTGGAGAGAGACTTCATTGCATGTTCATATGGGTACTTTTTCACTATTCTGTGTAGCATCCAAACACTATATCACAACATAGTTCAATGGGGGTAGGGTAAAAACTAGAGTAGTATCCTAAGAAATTCAGAAGAGAAATTCAAAAGAAATGTCAGGAAATTGCATAAATTTCAGCTAATTCACTTTGCAACCGAGTTCCATTCAGAGAGAGACACTGTTCAACACTTGATTGCAATGCGCTCTTACATGTCAATACGCCAGCACAGAGACCAGCAACTACAAATAACTAAGATAAGTATGCTAACCCATAGAAAACCATCAAAGAAATCCACACCTTTGGAATCTCAGTCAATTGAGTTCTCAAATTAACAATAAACACACAAAAGGTGTATATTACTAGCAATATCAGGGCAGAGGGAGTGCCAAATAAATTACATTAGACAGATAAAGCAATACTTTGAATTGATTGAAAACTTCAGGCCTTCTTTAGCTGTACATTAAATACTACTCTCTACAACAACATCTCAGCCTTAGTCCCAAAAGAGTTTGGGGTCAGCTAACATTAATCAACATATCAAATCGAAGCTAAAACAATAGAAAGATAAGATAAGAATAATCATCACCACCATCATCACCATTCACCATTACCCCAGTGCTGCAAAGGCTCCCACTTACGGTGGGGTAAGGGGGGTCGGATGTACGCAACCTTATCCTTGTACTAAAGCACAAAGAGACTGTTTCTGAATGACCCAATAAGATAAAATGATAAAGGATAAAACAATAAGCTAAAGATAAGATAAAGAAGAGATACAGATAAACAACATATAAGATAAGATAATTAGGATAAAAAGATAAAATAAAAAAATAAAAAGATAAAGAACATAAGATAGATAAAACAATAAAAAGATAAAGAACATAAGATAGATAAAACAAGATAAAAAGATAAAGAAAGATGAAATGAAATCAATCCTCCACACGAATATTATCTCTCAACTTTGCTCTTTCCAACATCATACTCTCATCCAAACCAAGAAGTACCATATCCTCTTGACTCCTCTAATCCATATCTGTTTAGGTCTTCTCCTCCCTCTCTTCCCCGTCTCTTCTCCCCACATCTCAACTCACCTAACAGATCAAATACTACTCTCTCTGTCCCAAAATATTGTTGCCATTTTGAATTGGCACATTTATTCAGAATGTGGAATTTTATGATACTGGTAGATGTAAAAAGGAGAGAAAAATACCAATCACAGAAAACTTTCCTTAAGAGGAAGTAGAAAGAAACTTTTGGGGCGGACTGAAAAAGAAAATAGGAAGAAGATTGTGATGGGGAGAGTGCACAAAACCAGGAGGGTATGTATCAAGCGTACTAGCACCGAAATGAAAAAAAAAACAAATGGTTTAGAATACTATATATGGGGATTTATATTTTTAAAAGGTACTCCAGAACCAGACCTGAAAGCAGATGGTTTAGAATTGGAAGATCAACGATTGACAATAATAAAAAAACACGTTGAGAGTAAATTTTTTTAGCCCCATAATCTATTCAGAGTTCCGGCAGAATTCACACTGGAGGGAGAAGATAGTTTTTTAGGTTACCTCTGATTCTTATCAGTGTTGTCAATCCCAGATAGCGGAGCGGAGCGGCCAGCCCCAAAAGCGCTATAGCGGTATAGCGGATAGCGGGATGACCGCTATTTAGGCTACTTCAAATATAAAAAATAAGTAACTGCTAGAAGCATATCTTATACATTACATACACATATTGAGTTCAAAAAGTATGATATATGTCAATGAAGTTGCAAACATCTTAGCATTCATAAATCCTAAATTACTTATAAATACTCTTTAGTTTCATGAGCAAAACAAAAGATGTTAATAATGATTAAAACATCTTAAGTCAAAACATTGAATCAAAAATAAGGTTTTAGTTTAAGAGTTTAAGCCTTGATATATTAACAGTCAAACGGTTCCACTTCCAAGCTGGGTCAAGGTGTTTTCATGTGGGCTTAAACATGGCAGTAGACTCCATACGAGATAATGAGAAGAAGAAAAGAAGACTCACTGCAGGTCTGCAGCAAAGGTTGGAGAAGAAGATGTTGCAGCAGAAAAAACTACTGAGAAGAATGAAGGAAGAGGAGGGCAGCACGTGTAGTTGTTGGAGAAGAACCAATCGCAAAGCAGAAACAGGGCTTTCTTGGAGAAGAAAGCATGGCAGAGCATAAAAAAAATACGCCAAAAACCTGGAGTCGTGAGCTTTTACGTACGTGTAAGGGTTTTAAGTAGTTAATATTTTGTTTTAAAAGTCTAGTTTACCCCTTCTATACCTCTGCGCTAAAAAATTTTAACGCCAAAAACCCTCGCAACCCTTTTACCACAAATCTCGCCGCTATAGCGGCCGCGAAAACCTTCTCCGCACCAACGCTATAGCGGGCGCTATAGCCGCTACACCCAAACGCCACACTACAGCCCTCCTGGTAGCGCCTTCCATGTCTGCCTCTCCGCTAAACCGCTATAGCGCGCTATAGCGCGCTATAGCGCCGCTATTAACATCACTGATTCTTATTATAACACAATATTTTTGTTTTCATAGTGACAGAGTGACCCATGAAATAATTAAAGCATTCAAAATAACATCCACTCTCCTAATATGCCCTTAACGTTTTTGCGGGAAATTTGTATTAGAATTTTTAAGAGGACCGAATGTAGAAGTAAAAAAAATCAATGTGCATTGATAACACAAAAGTGACTTGAAATTAAGACCATCCTAATATGCCTTATAACTAGGAGCGGTGGGAAAAAGGTAGAACACAAAATTGTAAAGGAAACAGTGAGAATTCAAATAAATACAGCCATACAGGAGTACCAATCAATTTAGCATTTCGTTGAAACTCATCTATAAATATTATGTGTTGCGTTCACAACTAAGTAGTCAAGTTGATACTAGGTGACAACTCAAGACTACACGGTGATAACCCATCCTACATTAATAAAATTACCAATATATTCTACAAAATTATAGCATTATATTAGCCTTATAAGTCTTATATAGATAATAAAATATAATCCTAATTCCTAATAATTAAGTAGCTTAGATCATAAATGTTCCAACTCTCCAAGAAGATCAATCATCTAATAGTTCAACTTTTATCTTAAATAATCCTCATTTGGTTCAAGGTTGTCATTTCCTTCTTCATCCTCCATGTCCAAAGATAGATCTTCCCTAAATACTCCGTAGATCTTTAGTGCTCACATTCTCCACAAGTTCATCCTCTCTCAAATAATTTAAATCAGCACAATGCAGTCTATACCTAGTCTAATTCTCCGCAAGTCTAATTCACAAGTTTATCACTTTTCAGTTTTTAAAATAGTCACTAATTTTTTATATATCCCGTAGTATCCTAATTTAGTTTCAATTTTTCAGACTTAACTCAAAAAAATAGTCAATTATTGCTGACCGAGTTACACGGTGAGTAAACCTAGTCACCAAGTTGTGAAACTCACAGAGGACACGGTGATTAACTCAGAATACTCAATTGGGTCGAGTAAGTACACTAGTAGGCATGGTCTTACTTCAAGTAGCAAGTATTCGCCTAGCAAGCGCCGCGTACTAAGTACTAACCAACTAGATAACATAGGTTCACAAGTTACATGATTAATATAAGTATTATTAGCTTACTTTATCCCAAACTATCATCAAATTCACAAATCTATCCTATTCTTTAAGTTTTATTAAAAAAGACTCAAACTTCATCCTTTTAAACAATTATGCTTTTCTTTTTTGTTTTTTCAAAATTACACATTTTTATCAATACCAATAAGATATAAGCAATACAAGTTTGTAAGCTTAAAACTAGAAAGAAGTGAAAAAATATGAAATATAAATATGATTTTCTTCTTAAGTTTTACTAATTCAACCATTGAAAGTGTAATTGTGAGAAAAGTTGAAGGTTGAGTCTTTTTTAATGAAAGTGAAAGTATGTGATAGATTTGTGAATTTGATGATAGTTGGGATATATTTAGCTAATAATCCTTAATATAATGCAGTAATCCTAGAATTTATAGAGTAGCAACAGAAAATATAGATGATATATAAACAAGATATTAGTGAAATTCTATTTCGATCAAGCCTAATTTCATTTTTTGTTTTGTAAATTACTTCATCAGAACCATGTTTCTCTATCAAAGTAGATCACGGTTTTTCGTTGAGAAAATGGTCAAATGAGGTCTTCGTACTATTATGAAATCGTCACATAAGGTCATGTACTCGATAAAGTGTCACATAAATACGTCTACTTATGAAAAGCAATTGGATGAGTCCTAACGACCTGTTGACAACCTCGTAATCTCGGTTTTAGCGTAAGCCTGGCCATCTTATAAAAATAGATTATAAGACTGACGTGAAATACTTGGTCAGGATTGGCTTAAACAAAAGGCAAAAATAACGACATGTAAGCTATAATCGGGATTAGGAGGTTGTCAACAGGTCTTTTTGATTCATTCGATTGCTTTTTATAAGTAGACGAATTTATATGACACTTTATCGAGTACATGACCTTATGTGACGATTCCGTAATAGTACAAGGACTTATTTGACCTTTTTGTCTTTTAATTTTATTTATTTAGAAAAATGAATCAATGTGTCATCCATCAAAAGTTTTTTTTGTTTTGTTCTTAAGAAACATGTTTTGAAGTGTTTGTTACAGAAAAGTTCTCAAAAGCTGAGACAATCATTTATCAACAATGAAGTCTTTGACATGTTTTAGAAAGATTTATGTGACATTTTTTATAAGAAACATATCCGAAACGCAGAGACACACACAAACTTGAAACCTACCGTAATTAAAAAAAAAAGTACTGAGAAACTTTCAATAAGTACTGAGAAACATTGGGCCTGTTTACTAACAGAGATATTTTCCAGTTTCCCAGAAAACTGGAAAACTGGAAAACAGAAAACAAGAAACGTGTTTGCCAAAGAAATTTCTGGAAAACTAGAGAAAGGAAAAAAGAACAACATGTTTACCAAATCGTTTTCCAAAAAGAAAAAATGAGACATGTCTCTCTTTTTCTTAGTGATTTGGAGAAGTGGCTTTTACTAGTTTTGCAAATTTGGAAAACGCAGATGCTACAGTGCCGCTACAATGAATTTGCATACTTACACCTAGTGGTGGGTCCGGTCCTGCTCTGATGTCGGTTCCATTTTAGTACCTCTATCCTCCTACCTTATCCCTTACCCCTACCCTACCCTACCCCCACCCCGCGTACCTATTTTTCCCTATAATGACCCTACCCCACCCCTACCACATGTCCCTACCTCAGCCCCACTCCGATCCACCCTACCCTACTGCCACCCCTACAACCTCGACCCCACCCCGACCCGCCCTGCCCTACCCCATATAACCCCTTACCCCTTACCACATGCCCCTTACCTCGGCCCCACCCCACCGCCATCCTACCCCCCACACTCGTACTGCCATCCTACCCCCACCCTTCCGCCATCCTAACCCCCATCCTACCCTTCCCCTACCTCGGCCCCACCCGGATCCCGGGCCCACCGTACCGCCATCCTATCCCAACTCCCTACCCTACCCCTACCTTACCCCAACCCTACCCACTACCCCCACCCTTACCGCCATCCTACCCCCCACCCTACCCCTTCCCTACCTCGGCCCCACCCTACCGCCATCCTATCCCAACTCCCTACCCTACCCCTACTTTACCCCAACCCTACCCACTACCCCACCCTTACCCCTAACCACGACCCTAACCCACCCACTACCCCCCACCCAACCCCCTACCCCTAGACCTTATCACCCCACCCCGACCATACCCCTTACCCCACCCCCACCCATAGCTTCCCTACCCCGACCCCTACGAGTAGGTATGGGTGGGTATGAAGGGTTGTGGGGGAGTATGGGTAGAGTGTAAGATCGTGGTAAGGGTAGGGGTAGGGGTCAAGGGTGTGAAATTGGAGAACTGGGTGAAAAAATTGATTAACATGTTTTCAGATTTGAAAATGGAAAACTAAAAAATAGAAACAGAAAATTGGAGATAGAAAAAATGAAAAATAAAAACAGAAAATTGGAGAACGAAAAACAGAAGTAGAAAACAGGAAAATATCTCTGTTAGTAAACAGGCCCTTTACATTTGATAGTTTCCAAGGTTTATTAAGTAACTGGCAAGATACTTGAAATGGTCAAATGGAAAGTACAAAGTCTAGACATGTATGCTTGAAATGGTCAAATGGAAAGTATAGAGTCTAGACATGCATGCTTTATCAATCATTGGCATCTTCATATGGCTATTTGGGAGACAACATGATTTCATTCCACGAGGTAAAAATATGAAGCTATAGAAAAGGATGTGTCTTATAATTAGATCATATATACACTAGAAATAGGTTTATGTTTTAAAATTTAGAATGTGGTAATACTTTATATATTACCTGCTGCAAGGTTAGCACGGGCAAAATTACTTAGCCTTCCTGTTACTGCAGAAAAAATGAAAATAAGATAACTTCAGCTAGGTGCTTCACAAATTGAGTAGCACTTTCACATACTGCATGGGAAATAAATACAGCAAACTGGAATGGTCTAGTGGAGAACAATATTAAAAGAAAACATGTTGGTGGTTGTGTCAGCTAGATATGTGCAAGGATGGACTAAATGGATTGCAGTTCACACTTCGCAGACACCAAGATTTTACCTTAGAGAACAGTGGGCATCACATATAAAGGATATACATTATTTAATATAGAAAAATAGCTAACAGGCTATGGAAGTTTCAAGTTTGTCTTAATGGCCAATTTTTTTTAAAAAAAAATAGAAGTTATTCCAATTAGTATGTAGTAGTAAAACATGAGTTATGTGCACAAATGAGACCGTCCTTATTTTATAATAAAAATGAGATTCATCCCATCCTGGAAAAATAAAAAAAGTAGCAAACCATTTTTTGAAGGAGAGCCTTGGCGAACCAGTTACGGTGTTGTTGTATGATCAAGAGGTCATTGGTTCAAATCGTGGGAGTGACCTCTTGTCAAAAAGACAAGGGAAGGCTTGCCCCTCCTATAAAACATTGGTGGAGCTTTCCCTAAGCCTTCGGCTTGCGGGACACTAATATACACCAGGCTGCCAGTAAATAAATCTTTTTGTAGAATTGGAGTAAAATTTTTAAAACAAACTAATGATGGATCATGGTCCCATTTGTATAAATGTGTTATGCTTCACAACTACTCATGAAATACTCTTTAACTAATGGAGCAACTCACGCAACTGAAATTGAAACAGGTTCACTAGATGACCCTAAGGTGGTTCTAGTTCATAATAAAAAAGAAGGGGGCAACTAAAAGATTTGTATTTAGCGATTAAGTAGGGGAAAAAAATTAAACCAAATTATCTACAGTGGCTTTATTAAATGTACCTGACCAAGTAACAATAAGACCAAGACTAGTGCCCGTAATCGTTGCCCTTCGACAATTTGTCCTCCATGAATTTAGAATATCAGCTTCTTCCTTTGAGACTGGAACCTACAACATTATTTTCTGTCAACTGATAATATCTAGTAACCAAATAAAGGAGAGAAAAGATAGATTATCAAACATAATGAACATGAAAACCCAATCAACAAATTGATGATCAACAGAACTACGCTGATAAATAAACGCATAAAACCCCATCCACAAACAGAAGACGTTCATAAGAATTCGATTCGTAACTGAACTTATTAGAAACTGCGAAGGTGGATGAGAACCTTACTGCGACGGAGAACACTATCAACTTCTACGATCGACACCATTTCACTATGCGGGTTTCTTCGGGTTTTGCAGGATTCGACTCTGCGAATGTTTTGAATCTATGGATAACCTTCAGGCATCAAGTGTTCAAGAAAAGCACAAAAGAACTGAAGCAGGCAGGAAATGATATTTGGGTTGTTATTGTAACCACGTCTCCTATGTATGCTTCAAATATTCTGTCATCCAATATTGTAGTTTTATCAACTTTTCAATAAGAATATTTTCTTTTTAACTAAAATTTGTTAGACTGATCTGAACTGATCTTGTAAACGTCTGGTCTCTGTGTATTTTATATTTACGGAAATCTGGTTTGGTCTGTGACTGAAAACAGTCAAAAAGAAAACATCATAATTGTCTTACATACTAAGAGCCCGTTTCGTAACACTGAAATCGGCTGAATCGATTGTTTCTACAGATACTTATGAAGTCTTGACTGAAGTGGTTATATTGGCTGATACTGCTGATTTATGAAAAAAATTATATATGAAATATATTTTAGGTTTAAATATGGTTTTTGTCCCTGCAAAGGTAGTACATTTTGTTTTACATCATATCCCTGCAATTTTTTTTGTTTTTAGCCCCTGCAATTTATGTTAGTTTTCTTTTTAGTCCATCACCGATGATATCAACATCTGTTTGATCTGAAACTAATCCCGACTAATAGATTTCCTCTAATTCTTTGTCATGCTATTAAAAAAAGTATTTAATTTATTTTTCAAAGGCTTTTAATATATATTTTAAAATTGTGAATACTCAGTTTTACATTATTTTTTAGCGCTCATATTAGCCTCAAAAATATTATAAAAGGATCAATTTAAATATTTCATGCAACTGACAATAATTTTTTTATAAGTAGTGTGGTTTTGGAATTAGAGAATGAGTAAAAACAAAACAGGGCATATTACAGGGATGAGAAACCAAAAAATATTTTGCAGGGACCTAAAACAAAGTGTATCATATTTCAAGGGACTAAAAACATATTTAAGCCTATAATTTATTAATAAAATAAAGAAAAAATTATATTTAAAATAGCTAAAATGATCCTCTACAGTAACTTCAACCAATACAGTCAGAAACGTAACTCCAACCTTACTTTTTTTTATTATTACACAATTCAGCGCGTGAAATCAAAAGTTACGTGTTTGGTGAAAAAGTTGGCTGATAAGCCTGATAAGCCAGAAAACATGCTCACCAAACAGGCTCTAAATAGTTGAATTTTCCTCTAAATAGAAATAATTAATATCATAATTGAAAGTATTGTCATATATACATATCAGTTAAAGTAGAAAATAGCATTATGAATCAAGGTTAACATTAATTTATTATTATTTTCGTGCCACTAAGAGTGTCTCATAATAAATTTAGTAAAGTTTATGCGGTTCTAAATCATTCTTACATTATTATTATTTATCAACGTAAACCACTGAAAATCAAAACAGAAAAATGTGTTTACCAAATCGTTTTCCAAAAATGAAAAAAATGAGACATGTCTCTCTTTTCCTTAATGAATTGGAGAAGTAACTTTTACTAGTTTTTTCAAATTTGAAAAACACAGTTGCTACAGTGCCGCTGCAATGAATTTGCATATATACGCCTAGTGGTGGATCTGGTCCCGCTACGGTGTCGGTTCCATTCTGGTCCCGCTTCAGTGTCTGTTCCATTCCGGTTAACTATCCTACGATCCCTATTTGGTCCGGTCAATGACCCGGCGGTCCGGTCAATGACCCATGGGTCCCTGTCCGGTCCCATCAATGACCCGATGATCCTTGTCCAGTCCGATCCATGACCAGGCGGTCCCTGTCCGGGCCAGTCAATGACCCGACGGTTCAGTCTCGATTTTTTCAAAATTCATTTTTAAAGTGAAGAGTTTTAAAAGAGCGTTGAGTTGTCAACCAATAAGAAAATGATAAAAGAATTCGTCAAACTAACCGTTTAGATCGAGCAGTACCAGCCAATTTTGGTCCCGAGTTTCCTATATGTGGGACCTGGTACCCTACTTGGGTTGTACTAGGTTTGATTTCAGAATGAGACCGCACTTTCGATCTTACGGACGATCACAGAACCGGGTGAAAAAAAATTGATAAACATGTTTTCAGATTTAAAAATGGAAAAACTAGAAAATAAAAACAAAAAATTGGAGAACAGAAAACAGAAGTAGAAAACTGGAAAATATCTCTATTAGTAAACAAGTCTCGCTTAAAACATCTCCAATACGTAGTACTCCGTATATAATAGCGCGAGTGAGTTCATCCTATATGGCAGAAGACTAGAAGAGACAAAAGATAAGATCATTATTTTAATCTAATACTCCGTAAAAAAATGGTGTAGGGAAAATTGTAAAAGATGATCGAAATAAAAATAAAAAATAAATTGTAGATATATGTATATGAAAGTATGAAACCATGTATACGGATGTTTTTACTTGGGCCGGTAAATGTTGATCTCTATGTATTTTATAGAGATGGGGAACTTCTTGATCTCTATTGTTATTGACTTATTGCACATAATAAAACATATTTTAGAGCATAGTAGATGGACAAATATCCATCCTCAAATTTCAAATAGATAGACTGAATCCAATCCATTGCATGTCTTTTTGGGATTGAATCCAATTAATAGTTGCATGTACGGATTGGATGACCAAAGAGTAACAGTCAAAGCAATACCAACAACTTCTACCCAAGGCATGCACCTGCTTCTTTCATCATTTTTTCTCTATAATTATCAATTATGCATGAACTTCATTTTCAAAATAGTTAAATTATAATTTTACACCACAAGAAGATGGAGGAATTGGGACAGCCATCTTCATCTGCCCCCCTATTACAAGCTAGTAAGAATGCCTGTTTTACTGTGCCAGCAACAACTCAATTTTGCTCTCAATAGATACCTTTCTCCTCAAGTCAAATTCAATCTTATCTATATCAGAAACGTTAGCCAGATACCCATAGAAGACCCTCTTTTTCTCCTGTGTAATGGGGTCGACCTTCACCAGGTCTGGATTGTTGTCTTCATCCTGGCTTAAAGTTGAGGATTGCACAAGGGCCCATTTGCTTCGCCCGTGGTTGCTTCTTTGGAAATAATCTGCCAATTTCATAGCCTCCTTCAATCCAGTTCGATCAGGAGAAAACTTCACGATGGTCATGCCACGATGACCGCCTTTGTTGAATGCTGCTTTTGGTTTACCACCTTTGCACCCAATTTCTGAAATCCATAAATAAGGAAAATGAGATTTGAAGACTCTTCAAATGCAAATGTGAAGCAACACCAGGTGTGCAATCATAAGTAGCCTCTTAAGTTGCACATTGCAAGAATAATGGCTCCTGTGTTTTGCACTAGACATGCTAATAATAAGGAACCATCTCAAGTTACACACATCTATAATGCTGTCAATCGTAAACTATTTTTAGGCTTTGGATTCTTGAGCTTCTTCCTCTTTTTGACAATTAAAATAAATAACAAATGAATAAATGGCAGCGTACATGAAACCACAAAATATTAACACAACTTGCAAAATATGGGAAATGGTTACTCTGATTTTTCAGGTACAACTTAAGTTTTTTTTGCTAAGCCAATTGGTCCTCAAAAAGCTAGTATAATTTAAATTGTCGCACTTTAAGGGTTCGTCAGATAGTTGTGACAACATTACAATAACTCAAGACACTTCTTAAATCAAGAAGCTACAAATTGTAGCCTCTTGATTTGAGTGTTTTTGTTTTAATATATTACGTAGTATTACTTAATACAGCCTAAGAAGCTATTTTTAGGTCTTCAATCATTTTTCACAATATGTGTTTAAACTAGGTTGTATATATACAGGGATAGAGAGAGGAGAGAGTAAAGATCTTTTGACTTGGGTATTTTACTGTTTTATGTTCTTGTGATTTTGTTTAGCTGAACTATTATTATGAATTATACAAAGTATATGTTAGTCTAGTTGCTGTACCAATATCTTTAAAAATAATAACAAATAATTTTGAGGCATACGCCTCGGGGCTCGACTTCGCCTTTTCAAAACCTTGACCATCTGACGTGTAAGCCACACCTTGTTCACATGAGGCTTACACTTGTATGTATTTTTTCCTTATCACACACTGAGACGTGCCAAAAAACCCTTTTGGTCTCTTGAGGTCTTGACTTTTGAAACACGCAAAATTTGATTTGAAATATATGTAGCACCACCAAATTTACAAAACTTAACTTTCTGATAAAAGATATATTTTGAATTTGTGGGACAAAATTTAGTACATTTTAAAATCACAAATCACAAATAACTGAAAAGGTGATCAAATAGCTAGCCAAGAATTAAAATTTAAAAGTTTTAATTCCACTACAGTTAATAGAAACAAATTGTCATTAAGCCCCATGGGCCATGGTTGGTGTCTAAATAACCTTAGGGAAAGTTCCCGAAATAGGACTAAAACAGTTTGAAAATTCCAAAATAGGACTGTCATGTTTTTTATTCCCAAAATAGGAGTAATTACTGCCAAGTTTGGAAAATACTGCCATGTTTGAAGTCTGGTACTGGCAAAACATGACAGTAATTAGTCCTATTTTGGAAATAAAAACATGTCAGTCCTATTTTGGAAATTTGAAACCTTTTTAGTCCTATTTCGGGTAATATCCCATAACCTTATGTTGGTTGAGTCAAGGAAATATCTACAAAAGAAATGTATCATGTAACATATGAAACTTGCAAAGAACAGACAGAGGATGATGGAAGACCACAATGACTATCCAGGGGATTTGCCATTGACTCATTGATCCAGAACATCATCTCAAAGAGCCCAAGTATCAACTCTTGGATGTATAAAATTATTAACCTAAAAATAATGGCATTCAATTGTTGCTTGTGATATTGATGCATAAGGTAAGAATAAGAAATACAAATATATCATTCTTACAACTTATGTCGGACTATAACCATCAACAACACCTTAATCCAACTAGTTGGTTGCAATGACATTAAATTTATACTTTATAAAAGCAGCTAATTAATTAAAAGTAGTTATAAGTGTTCATTCATGCAATAAAAATTGTTGGCTGTTTTAGGTCAGAAACATCTAAAAAAATTGTTTTAACATTTTCACCCTAGTTAAAAAATACGTATAAAATAAAAAGGGAAAAACAGATTCATGATGAACTGATGATGATGATGATGATGATATCCAGGGAAACAATAACTAAAAGAACATTAAAAAGTAGCACATGTTTGAGATGCTCCAGCAAGGTATCGAATGTTTTAAAAGATGTTTGAGTAAGTACTGAAAGTGTTGGAGATGCTCAGATAAAAATCAAAATTGCTAAAGATGCTCACGTGAGCACAAGAAAAAAAGTAGTGTTTCAGTGTTTCAACAAGGGCATCGAACATTGTTGAAATTTTGTGTTCTAGATTTCAAGTGAGCTTTTGTACTCCAAATCCAAGATCAAGTTTTTACATTCATTATTAAATTTTGATGTGCTCAATTGTTTAAGTTCAAGACTGAGTTTTAAAGTTAAACCTTTTTTCACATGTTCTAGTTATGTAGCATGTTTAAGCATACAAGCTTTAGCTTAACACTAAAACAATCTAGATCAGTCCGGAAGCTCACACAGCACAACCCTCTCTGCTCTATAAAGAGTGTTTCCTTCATTAGAAATATAGAAGAGATGTGAGAAGTGTTATGTGTTATTAGCAATTACTCATTGTATTAATAAAGTGTATTTTGGTGTGTTTGTTATTTTACAAAACAAACATTAATCAAGTGGGTAGGAATATATTATGAAAACAACCAAACAACATGGAAAATGGGTGATTCTTTTTAAGACTAGCAAAGAGAGAAAGGATGGAAGAATTTACAATACCTGTAAGGTACTCGCTCATAACCCTGTTCCCCAAACCCTCAACACTGCCGTCTGCACGTTTTCCTGTTACTGTATTATGGATGAACACCATTGGTGGCCATACAATCAGGTCATCTAGGTTTGCGGCTGCTTCTTCAGCCGATAACAAATGGTATGACTTTGAGCTATCAGGAGGAGTCAAATAGTTCCAGCCCATCAGAACACACAAAGCTTTGTGATATCCCAAATGATCAACTGTAGAGTCAGCGTTGTCAGAATGATATGTGTGCATAATAAGGCTGTGCATATCTGAATAATGTTTTGAATCCCTGAATGTGGAAATAAAAGTAAACAAGTATATCAGATAATATTGATGGTCTGAAAATGAAAATTTTCAGGTAGAACCAATACTCTAGAAATAAGAGTTAATAAAGTTGGAAGTTGGAAAGAACTAAAGACAGTAAGCACTTAAACCAACAATATTAGTACTTAGTGTTAAACTAAAAGTATACTCCAGTGCTAATGTTCTCCATCATAGAAGGTACCAACAATAAGACATGAAATGCAGTATTAGCTGAAAAACTTTTTCACTACTTTAATGTGTTGCTTTTTTTCCATAATATTATAAAAAATAATCACGTATTGTAATACTATAACCCACAACTCAGCTAAACGCATGAAATATAATATGTCTCTAATCTTCTTACAACAGTCTATAATGTAATAAGCTTGCTCTTGATTCTCAACATTGTTTTGATGCGAACATAGATCTTATTATGTTCATCGCTTAAGATACTAGATACAGCTTAAAGCAATCATGGATTCATGTATGATGTATCCACAAATAGTGGTTATGAATCTTATAAGGAAAGCCATTTTGGGGATGAAACTAAGCGCTGCAATTTCACTTATGCATGTTACCTATTTAAATTAATATAAGATTAAAGTTTTGTAAAACTGTATAGTTAGATTAATTTGTAGATAAATACTTAGTCTTATCTGATGTAAATCTCACACGTATGAGATAAAGATAGTTAGGTAGTCAGATCCTAATTTTTAGGATCTCATCATTTAGTTTGTTAGACTTGTATCCTATATATATTGTACCCGGGTGATGGAATAAATTAATTCATTCTATTCTCTCAAACTTACATGGTATCAGAGCAGGCTGTTTAAACACCACAATGGTGGAAACCGAGCACTCTGGTTCTTCCCCTCACTCACAAACCCTTCACCCTAACTCCCAAATTAGCCAAATGACAAACTATCAGGCCTCGATTAATTCATCTATGCTCATTACTGGACATAGATTGAATGGAACTAATTATCTAGAATGGTCACAGTCTGTCAAGCTGGCAATTGATGGAAGAGGAAAGCTGGGATACATAACGGGTGAGATAGCAGAGAAGAAAAGTGGTGATGATGGCTACAGTGTCTGGAGGTCAGAAAACTCTTTGGTAACAGCCTGGCTTCTCAGTTCAATGGATGCATCAATCGCCAAACCTCACATGTTCATGAAAACTGCAAAAGAGGTATGGGATTCCATCAAAGAAACCTATTCAGATCTTGAGAACTCTTCTCAGATTTATGAATTAAAAACAAAGCTGTGGCAGTCTAAACAAGGCAGTAGAGATGTCATCTCATACTATAATGAGATGGTATCCCTATGGCAAGAGTTAGACCAATGCTATGATGCTGAAGAATGGGAAAGTGCCAAGGATCTGGCAAGACACAAAAAGAGGGAAGAAAATGATAGGGTCTATATGTTCCTAGCAGGAATTAATAGAGACCTGGATGAAGTTAAGGGAAGAATACTTGGAAAAAAACCTCTCCCTTCAATCAGGGAGGTATTTTCTGAAATCAGGGTGGAAGAAAGTAGGAAAAAGGTCATGAATAACACTTCAGTCCATCATGATGATCCAGGAGAGTCCTCAGCAATGATTGCCAAAGGAAATGAGAAGAAAAAGCCTTGGTGTGATCATTGCAAGAAACTGTGGCATACTAGGGAGACTTGTTGGAAGATTCATGGCAAACCACCTGGAGCAGGACAGAAAAAAGTTGAAAGGGCCCTACATACTGCCATACCTGAAACTGATCAAGAGCAACAAGTCAATTTCAAGCAGCCAATTTTCACCAAGGAGCAGATAGAGCAGCTCCTACAACTTCTTAATACCCAAAAGAACCCTAAATCAGAAAACCCTTCTTGTTCTTTTGCTCAGAATGGTAAAATTGCATCATTTTTCTGTTCTGGAAAACCAAATGCCACCTGGGTCATTGACTCAGGTGCAACAGACCACATGACCTCCATTTCAAATCTATACTCTTCTTATAAACCTTGTGCAGGGGATAAGAAAATAAAAGTTGCAGATGGCTCTCTTTCAGCCATTGCAGGAACTGGAAATATTAAAGTTTCCACTTCTATTGACCTTTCTAAAGTCTTACATGTCCCAAATCTATCCTGTAATCTTGTTTCTGTTAGCAAATTAACCAAAGATCTTCAATGTTGTGTTAAATTCTATCCTTCCTATTGCATTTTTCAGGATCTGGCATCGGGGAAGATGATTGGCAGTGCTAGGGAAGAAGATGGACTCTATATATTTGATAAAGGGACTGAATCAAATAAACAAGGTCAAAGAACTACTTGTCTGCAAACTATTACGTTTCCCAGTGATAAGGAGTTGTATTTAATTCATTATAGACTAGGTCATCCTAGTTTCCATTATTTAAAAAAGTTGTTTCCTCAATTATTTCATAATAAAAATGTTTCACAGTTTCATTGTGATATGTGTACACTTGCAAAGCATCATAAAAATTCTTATCTTCCCCACAGTTACAAACCTACCAGCCCTTTTACTCTTGTGCATAGTGATATTTGGGGAGCATCTAGAATCCCTACTTTAAAAGGAAAGAGATGGTTTGTAACAATTATTGATGATCATACAAGAATGACATGGGTATTTTTGATCAAAGAAAAATCAGAAGTAGAAAATGTATTTAAGCAGTTTTATGCAATGGTCCAAACTCAATTCAATACCAATATAAAAATGGTAAGAAGTGATAATGGCCGTGAATACTTTTCTACAAACCTAAATCATTTTTTTGCTGAAAAAGGAATAATTCATCAAAGTTCTTGCATTAATACTCCTGCTCAGAATGGAATTGCTGAGAGAAAAAATAGGCATTTACTTGAAGTTACACGTGCAATCATGTTTTCAATGAAAGTTCCAAAATATTTATGGGGAGATGCTGTTTTACATGCTACCTATTTAATAAATAGGATGCCATCAAAAGTTTTAGGGTTCAAAACTCCAATTAGTATTCTGCAAGAATGTTACCCTACTACTAGATTGATTAGCACTCTTCCTTTAAAAATCTTTGGTTGCACTGTTTTTATTAAAAATCCAGACAAAACAGCAAGTAAATTTGATCCTAGAGGAACTAAGTGTGTCTTTTTAGGTATTTCATCCACACAGAAAGGGTATAAATGCTTTGATCCTTCAACAAAAAAGATGTTTATTTCAATGGACACTGTTTTTGTTGAAAATCAAGTGTTTTTTGATACTCATCTTCAGGGGGAGAGTTTTAATGAAGATGCTACCAATGTGTCACATATTCATGACAATCTTGATTTTCTTGACATTAATCTAGATATGCATTCTATTAGAAACTTAGATGCATTAGAAAATGGTCAAGCATCAAAAAATAATGAAATGAATACAACTGATAAACTGGGAGGTGAAGAATTGCAGATCAGTAAGTTCTTTGGCAAGGTTTATGAGAGAAAGGTTCCAAATCAAAGAGAAGAGGAAGTCTTTGAACCTACATCTGTTAATGAATCTGACCAGATGTCAGTAAATGAAAAAGGTAATGACTCAACTGATCTTGATTTACCTATAGCTCTCAGAAAAGAAAGAAGGTCATGTGTCAAATATCCTATCTCAAACCATGTTTCTTATTCTAGATTATCCTCTACATTTGCAACCTTTTCTTCTATTGTCTCCTCTGTTTCTATCCCATCAACCATACAGGAAGCTCTATCTAAACCTGAGTGGAAAAAGGCTGTTTTGGAAGAGATGGATGCTCTTGAAAAGAATCAGACATGGAAGGATGTAGAGCTACCTAAAGACAAGCCCACAGTTGGATGTAGATGGATTTTCACTCCTAAGTTCAAGGCAGATGGCACTCTTGAGAGGTATAAGGCAAGGTTAGTTGCCAAAGGTTATACACAAACCTATGGTATAGATTACACCGAGACCTTTGCTCCAGTTGCAAAGCTGAATACTATCAGAATTCTTCTATCCCTGGCTGCAAATTTAGATTGGCCTCTTCAACAGTTGGATGTGAAGAATGCTTTTTTAAATGGAAAACTTGAGGAGGAAGTTTACATGAATCCTCCTCCTGGGTTTGAAAACAAGTTTGGTTCAAGAGTATGTAAGCTAGAAAGATCCCTGTATGGACTCAAACAGTCCCCAAGGGCTTGGTTTGATAGGTTCACACAGTTTGTTAAAAAACAGGGATATAAACAGGCCCAAGCTGACCATACTCTATTTATAAAATGTTCAAGTAAGGGGGAGATTGCTATATTAATTGTCTATGTAGATGATATTATCATTACAGGAGACTTTCATGAAGAAACACAAAGCCTGAAGAAAAAACTTGCTGCTGAATTTGAAGTCAAAGATCTGGGAGATTTGAAATACTTTCTTGGCATGGAAATAGCTAGATCAAAAGAGGGAATAATTGTATCTCAAAGGAAGTATGTTTTAGATCTTCTTCAAGAAACAGGGATGAGTGCATGTAAACCAGCTGACACTCCTATAGACTCAAACCAGAAGTTAGGAGATGTCAGAGATGGGGTTCCAGTCAATGTGCAACAATATCAGAGATTGGTAGGAAGACTTATATACTTAGCACATACCAGACCTGATATTGCTTTTGCAGTTAGCATGGTAAGTCAGTTTATGCATTGTCCATATAAAGAACATCTTGAGGCAGCCTACAGAATTCTTAGGTATTTGAAAAGTTGTCCTGGAAAAGGTTTGTTTTTCAAAAAGAACCATAGTAGGGCAGTAGAGGCCTTCACAGATGCTGATTATGCAGGATCAGTAAGTGATAGAAGATCTACTTCAGGGTACTGCACTTATGTATGGGGAAATCTAGTGACTTGGAGAAGTAAGAAGCAGAATGTGGTAGCTAGAAGCAGTGCAGAGGCAGAATTCAGATCAATGGCCAATGGTATATGTGAACTTCTTTGGATCAAGAGGGTGATCAAAGAACTGAATATGGAATTGGAGTTACCTATGAGACTATATTGTGACAACAAGGCAGCTATTAGCATTGCACACAATCCAGTCCTACATGACAGAACAAAACACATTGAAGTGGATAGACACTTTATCAAAGAGAAAATCGAAGCTGGAATTGTGTGTACACCATTTGTGCCTACCAGGGATCAAACTGCTGATATTCTAACAAAAGGATTGTTCAAACCAGTGTTTGAAAAACTAGTAAGCAAGTTGGGAATGTATGATATATATTCACCAACTTGAGGGGGAGTGTAAAACTGTATAGTTAGATTAATTTGTAGATAAATACTTAGTCTTATCTGATGTAAATCTCACACGTATGAGATAAAGATAGTTAGGTAGTCAGATCCTAATTTTTAGGATCTCATCATTTAGTTTGTTAGACTTGTATCCTATATATATTGTACCCGGGTGATGGAATAAATTAATTCATTCTATTCTCTCAAACTTACAAGTTTCAACATCTATTACAGAGTATATGTTAGTGAAGAAAGCACCTATATGCGACTCAGCACATTTTACTTGGGTCCCATGCACCACATAGGTGAAGCTTTGTTACAACTTACTGTCACTGATGTAAAAGTATCAGGTGTTTAGAGGCTAAGCTGAGTGCAGATTTAGGACTTTAGAGTTAGACACACTCACACAGTCACACCTATTATGAAAAATGCTACTTGGGCTTTATATAATATGCATTTGCTCAACCTCTCATCTGACCACATTTCCATGTGGGATGTACTAGGTTTGTTTCGTTTGTTTGCAAAACCTACACACTACTACTTGAGCATACATGCAAGCAAATTTTCTTACATATACGCATTATACAAGTACAGATAGCAATGGAACATAATCACAGAAAGAAAAGCAGACATAGATGGAAATAGAGAGTAATACTGTATATTTCATGCGCATCAGACACATAAACCAAATGGGCAACACTTAAGTGGCTAAGATACCTCATTAGTGCAATTCACACTCCCACTGACTCTAATATTGTAAAATGTATGGCATCAACCACCAAATCAATGACACCTCAATAAAACAAATGAATCCCATATACAAAGAATATCAAAAGCTATCAAACAGAAGTTATCATAACAGAGTGACCATAATGTATATTCCCAGACCTGTCACAAACAGTACATTGAAGATACCCTTGCTTTCCATTGGCCAGGTAACGATTTTTCAGCTTTGCACCTTCATATACTGCCTTTGCAAAATGCAAAAATGCTTTCTTTAAGGCTTTTTGATCAACCTCGTGGTGTTTAAGAGGCTGGGCACTCTGCTCGGCAGTTATAAATTCCTCTGGACCTCTACCTATATGCGACCCACTAATTCCAGGTGAACCATTATCTCCATTTGCGAGCTGCAAAAGCTTCTGCCTTCTCCTAGACAAACTATCATTGTCTTCTCTTTTTTCATCCAAATACTTCCTTTTTATTGAATTGTCATTCCCTGGCATCAGAACTTGCCCACCATCATGCCAATCTAAGAGAGGCGAATCCCTAAAATTTTGATTCCTGCTATGTAAAGGCGGATCACCGCAGTACTCGGGGTGTAAATCTGGACTCGATTGGAACTGCCTATCAAACCCTGGTTGCGGACGATGAATTTCCGTCCGTGGTAACGGTGAAAAGTCGCGATAATTTTGGGGTAGGGCGAAGTAAGTCCTCACTGAACCATCCGCAAGGACGAGTGTTCTGCGTTCGAGCATCTGAATCCCATACCCGGGGGCAGGAGCAGGAGGCGTTTGACGCGGGTCAAGGAAACGGAGCGAAGGTAGAGCAGATTGCATGCCTTCGTCGGGTCTCGGGGAGTTAACGGGTCTAAGCTTAGGGGTATGAGGGGTGGTTTGGGAACTGGGTATACCAGGCTCCGGAGAGAGGTTGGATTCAGTTTCCCCAGAACGAGACCCGAACGCAGAGGGTTTAGAATTGGATGATCGGTGATTCTTTACGGCATTCCGGGGGAATCTGCGGCGTGAAGTTGCAGAGGATGAAGAAGGGTGCCTTTTAGGGTTACCACCCGCCATGACTTCGAGCTTCAACTTATGAAGCTAATTTTGTGTAATTCTTTGTCTATGACAGTATGAAAGTTGGTCGCTGAAGAGAGCTTTCCATACAGTCGAGTTTCCCAGTAAGGTCGAAGAAGAAGAAAGTAGGTTATTAGGAAAAGTAGGTTTTTAATTTAGCTATTTTTACTTTTTTTTAGAGGGTGATTTTAGTTTAAAAAAATTATATTCCGTATATTTTTATCTTTATTTAATAAAATATTTTAAATATAACTTTTTCGAGTAAGCAAATTGGGCTGCTTCAATTATCGTAATACATTTCAGAAGAATAAACCTGCTAAGTCATTCAATTTCAATGTTATAAAATAAACTTAGTTGAACGAGCGGAATTCGAATTCAATATATTCAAACTTTCATTCATTTGTGTATCAAATAGAAGTATATTTTAATACAGAGTATTTCTAATGCATTCTTACATTCACTTTCTATTATTTTATCTTCCATTCCACAAAGAATTTCGTGAATTTTTTCATTCGTCTTTTACTCGCAACAAAAATGCATAGACTCGGTTCCGTAATTGGTTGACTATTTACTCGTGATTTGGATTGGATCATCCCGTCGTAGATGGATATCGAAGACGGTTTCAATAAGCAAGGTTTGCAATTAAATCCCAACATTTTATTTATCACTTTATAATTATAAAACATGAACAATGAGACTCTACCTTGATATTGATATACAGAATAAACTCAAATAAAAACTAAAATGATGTTTCTTATATTTCATGTTATAAGAAACATCATTTTAGACATCTTGCAACTATTAAAAAAGTTATTAACATAAGAAATCACTACTCAAGAGAGTGAAAGTTCATAATATAAGGATTAAATGGTATATATGTTTCTTATTAATTAAAATAGTATACAAATAATAAAAATTTATGGCAACTCTGATTATTGTAAAAAAAAAATGAGAATAAACATGCGGCTTTTAGAAAAGTGCAATCGGTTCTTAAGAAAAGATTAAAATTCTATATTAATTCTTGAGATAAACATATTCATGTATTCATCGGTAATATACATTGTGTGTACATATAGTATTCATACTTTTGTGGATTAATCATTTAAAGGTTAACTTTTTATAAACAAATAGATTAGACAGTATGGAAATCACTGAATCATTCAGAGAATCGGGAGAGACATGTGCCTCCTCCTATATGCTCATACCGCATGCAACAATAGGTGCAATAATTGTCCTTTCTACTCCATGAACTATGAAAATATAACAATGGATCATATCAAAACTGGGTTTATAGGTTATCCTCTCAATATTGAATTGTCTAATAAATAATAAAGTTGAATGATTAAACATGATTTGTGTAATTATGTATGATTAGACCTGATTGGTGTAATTGATGTTTAGCGTATGAATGATACTCTTATTTTGGAATTTGAGAATTTCACGCCTTTTTTACTCTTATTTAGTTGCAATTTCTTTAATATAAGTAAGAAAACTAAATTTGAAATTGAAGAATATGAACCAATGAAATCTAGAATAAAAGAACAATTTTAAATAAAGCTTAACTAAGATGACTCAATTAATATGGAATTCGACTCTAAATTAACACACTAACATCAAATACAATATAATACAATAAAATGTGATATGATCCAATACAATACAATATAGGAAAAATTGAAAATAATAATTCCAACTATTGCCGATCCGCTGAAAATAATCTCAACTATTGATTATTTTTGTATAATCCCAACTATATAGACAATCCGCCAATAGTGGTCCATGACCATATATTACCTCTATAAAAAGTGAATTTTAAATAGAAATTAAGCGTAAAAATTAAAAGTTGAGATTATTTATAGGGATTACTTGTTATATCTCATCTCATCCACTTTAGAAACTACAAGAATTTATTCATAGGGACCATTATTGGCGGAAGGACCCTAAAGTTGAAATTATTCTGTAATAATCAATAGTTGGGATTATTATGAGCGGACCGCCAATAGTTGGGATTATTACTATCAATTTTTCCTACAATATAATGCAATGAATACAAATATGAACCTGAGAACATTACTCTGGAAAGTAACAATCATGCATCGCATCGCAAGATACTTGATTTTAATTTATGAAGTCTAATAGTATTATAAAGAATTAAAGAAATAATGACAAATATATCACTAAAATGAAGGCAATGAACAAAACTAAGATGACAATAATAGTAACCTTAGTGACAACGATAATGTGCATGTTTACACTATAGTAAGAGTAATTGTGATGACATATCCATTGTAACTTGAGTTACAATTTTGGTCATATATTTTATTACATTAATGCTTAAGGAAAAGCCTCATTCACTAATGACTATATATTTTTATTAATATAAATAGCTCATGTGATACTTATGAAGTTATTATGATATGAGTAATATAATTCAGTTATTTAATCAACCTATCATCAAACCATCAAGAGAGAGTAGTGGCTTGGTATCGCTAGGGTTAGCGAACTCCTTTTTCCGCCACAGTGCGGCTTGTCTTTTCCTACTGCCGAAATGCGATCTTTTGCACAACAACAAGACGCACGAATCACAAGGACTAGATAGTCCAAGTTGGAGGAACAGTGCAAACAATTTAGTTTGGAGAATGATTTTGCTGTTGATGATGATGATGAGGATGGAGATCCCGAACATCAACGCATGCAGAAATAAATGATAAAAGGAAGCGTGATACAGATGAAACTAGGACAAAAAATCAGGATTGAGGTGACTTTGGATCTCTAGGCCTCCTAGGAGCTTGAAGTTTCAGATTTTTTTTACTCAGAGTTAGGTTTTTCTTAGTTTCTTTTAATTTAATTCTAGTTCCATTATTGTTTTGTGTTAAGAGGTGTTTTTGAGGGGTAAGTTCACACATTTCAAATGGGGCATTTGGTCATTATAGGCTTGAAATTTCTCGTTCAGTGATTATAAGAGAGTTATTGTGCTATTTTTAGTAGGAATAATTATATATCTATTCACGGGGATGGTGATCGAATTGAGGTGCTTGTTCGGTTGTTGTTCTGCAAATTCTTTATGTATCAATATAAGTCTTTCCATTCAGAAAAATAGCTCATACAATTATTGAATATTACATTTTCATATAAAATATTAAATATTGAAATCATTAATCGAATAAATAGAACAAAATACAAGAATAGTTTCACTTTTGATACTATGAATATAATATAAATTACACATTCAGTCCACGCCTTAGATTTTACACATGTTTGGTACAATGATGTTATTTCTTGTGCGTCTATGATTCTTCTCGCCCAACAGTTAACACATCTCAAATGAGTTTAAGCACCAAAATTTAGTTGAAAGGATCACAAGGGGCATAAAAACAATAATAATGTACTAAAAGTGGGCAAAAGTCAAAGACATTAACCAAATATGAAATTGATACAAGATCGACCAAAAGCACAACTTATTGTGAAGTTTTTTTTTGCATTGACATGTTATGTTTTTTATCGAGTAAAGGGTCAGTTTGGTCCTCGAAGTTGCACAAAAGGGGTCAAATAAGTCCTTATATATGAGGTTCTATCCGGCCGTCGGCATTTGGGGTGGTTCCCGGTGAAAGTTTTTGATGAAACTTTTTGAGCATCTTACTCATTAAGTCTAGTTCACTCATACCAAATTTCAGATAAAAATTCAATCAGGAAGACATTCAAATGAATTCTTGAAGATAATTGTGCAGTTAAAAGCGCAATTATCTTCAAGAATTCATTTGAATGTCTTCCCGATTGAATTCTTAGCTAAAATTTGGTATGAGTAAACTAGACTTAATGAATACAATGCGAAAAAACTTTTATCAAAAAATTCCACTAGGAACCGCCTCAAATGGCACGTCCGGACAGAATCTTTTATATAAGAACTTATTTGACCCCTTTTATGCAACTTCGAGGACTAAAGTGAGCCTTTACTCGTTTTTTATCATAAAAATATGAAACATTTAATAGAAATCTAATAGGTAATGTGTAACACCCCGGCCCCGCAGGGCCCTTGGTAGTTACTCCTACACACCCTACGAACCTCTAGTACTGTCCTCACAAACCGCCACAAGCCTTTCTCGCGCACTTTGTCCTCACTCCTGCGCGCCCTGTGAAACTTCCCAGTGGGTCATCCATCCCAAGACTACTCTCGTGCAAGCACGCTTAACTTTGGAGTTCTTAGTGATGAGCTCCCTTAAAAGGAGATGCATCTTGTTGGTATGAGTAGTACTATTAATCCGTTTAAATTAAATCTCAAGTGTTACAATCACCCCCACTTAGGTTCGCAACGTCCTCGTTGCGCCCATAAGCCAATTCAATCTCAATCATATCCTAGAATCTTCCCCCGCTAAGCCCGCCCGATATCCAACGGGTCAGCACACTGTCGCAGGGTTGTAACACCGCGACAATGTGTTGACCTCTAGTATTCTCTACTTGTAACACCTCGGCCCCGCAGAGCCCGAGGTAGTTACTCCTACACACCCTACAGACTTCTAGTACTGTTCTCACAAACCGCCACAAGCCTTTTCCGCGCACTTCGTCCTCACTCCTGCGCGCCCTGTGAAACTTCCCAGTGAGTCATCCATCCCAAGACTACTCTCCTGCAAGCACGCTTAACTTTGGAATTCTTGCTGGTATGGGTAGTACTATTAATCCGTTTAAATTAAATCTCAAGTGTTACATTATGACCACATAATATTTTGGTGAGAAAATAATTTGAATCGAGAGTCAACCCACAACTCGAGGTCATCCCCTATTATGTTGATTGATTTCAAACTGATTATGACAAAAATGGATTACACAACCACCACCTAAAGTCTAGGCAGAAGCCTAGCCCCAATTTAATATGAAACAAACTATGGATAGGGAAAAATTGTGACTTAGTAACTACAATTATGTTCAAATAGTAGATTTTTGTGACTATAAAAACATGTTCAATTGTTCATAGTCACGTTAGTCTCATTCTTGCTCATGAGAATGATTTTAATTATATTTTAGGAAAAATTTCTTTTTAGATCAATGAATGAACTTGATGGCGACTACTCAATTTTACTATAGTCAAAAAATTAGATGTTGCATTACATTAGTGTAGGTCACTCTAGGGATACACCATTTCATTAGGTTGCCCGCAGCCCTGGGTGAAAATGTCATTTTAAAGCTTTTCACCCCCCGAAAATCATCCCAAAAATGATTGTTGTACACACTTGTGTACACACTATAAAAAGGTTTATTTTTTTACCTTCTTTTCTTTTACCCTGTTCTCTTCTCAGTTCTCACTCCCCTCCCTTTGCATACGCCAGTGTCTTCCTTTCTTCTTTTCCCTCTTTCGTTTCTTTCTCCTACGAGGCTCTGATCCTCTCTATCAAATTCATCTTTGGATTATATAATCCTGTAATTCCTTGATGACTACCCTCTACCAGAAAGTAAAACGTGAAGTTCCTCCCTAGGTAGAAAACCACTGCCTTAGTGTTGCACTTAATTTTAGGTTTTGTTTTTAATTTCTAAGATATTTTTATAAAAGAGATGCAGATTTTTCTTCTTTTCTGTAAATGCTATTTAGAGTTTTAATAGATTTAAGTGTCTTACTTTTTCTGAATTTCCGTTCTAGTTGCGAATGAATTAATAGGCCTAACTATAATAATTTTAATTATTATACTTATTTCAGTTATTTGTGTTTTCCGATTTTATGATGTTAATTCTTGACTATACTTTATTTCATTAATATAGGGTTGTGATGTTAGTTATTGAACTTTTAGTCTAACTATTGTATTTTATTTTATTGCCCATTACATGTTTGTTGTATTGTATTTTATTTTATTGCCCATTACATGTTTGTTGAAATGATTCAATGAATTTCTTGTTCATATCTAAGGTTTTTGGGAAGATTTCTTTAGTAAATTGCTTATTTCTCTTTAGAGATTTGATTATACCCATTTGATGTTTTGTTCATGTGGAGAACCTAATTATTAGATTTGCAGAAAATGGATGGGAATTATGGAAGTTAATATTACTTCTTATGTTTGCTTTTCTTTTACGACATTATGAAAACACAAATTTTACTTTAACCATGCACAAACAATACAAATAAAGACATAGACGATGCTTCAACTACGTACAGACAAAATAAATGAACACACATCCAATGTTTTAACCACACATAGACAATATAAATTAAGAAATAGATGATGATTCAACTACACACAACAATATTGTTTGTGTTTTTTTGTTGCTAACACATACAATAATAACAACAGTTTTCTGGTCACAAGCAATTATATGTGCCGATAAAAATTTATTTTACCAAATATACTTACAACCAAACTATTTTTGTGTGTATCCAGATAATAGTCTTATTATGTACTCAAACTCAAACAACTATTTTCCATGTTAATAAAAAACAAGTCCATTTCATGTGAAGAACACAAACAAACATTGTATATTTTGTGTGACAATCCATGTCTTTCACACTAATAAGAGTACGAAGTAGTAATTAAGTACGGAGTAAGATGCAGTATTAATAACTAGAAGAGAAAAAACTACAAAAAGATGTCAAGTATCCATAATATTTAGAAACGAAAGTATCAAAAGACACATGATAATATGACATGAGAGCCCAAAAAGACACCCGACTGATTTATTGAGGAAGTGGAAAAGGTTTGATCTTTCTTAGTGGGGATGGTTGTTTTTCTTGGGATCAAAACGATCATAATACCACACAAAGTCTTCAGGCCGAGGGAGAGGGGAGTGATATCCAACAACATGTCTTCAACTTTTTGGTTTCCTTCTCCACACAGAACGGCAGCCTGTGCGGCAGCTCCATAGGCCATAGCTTCATAGGGAATGCCCTTGCAAAGCTCTTTGCCGTTGAAGAAATCATGCGGCATTTGTTGAACCTTTGGGGGATCCACCCACAAGGACAACACACTGCAGGTTGCTCTTATTCATATTGGCATCTCTCAAACACTTCTCCACCAGGTCCATACACTTGCTAAATATGATACAATAATCATGGAATAGAACAAGTACAAAAATTATTTCAAATTAGTGTGAAGCACATTCTAAACATCACAATGGGAAGCTTAATTTCGGGACAGATTTAGGGAATGTTTGATACTCCAAGGGCTATGCTAATACACCATACAGAAAACGAGTTATATATACATGTTTTTATATGTCTATATCTAACATATAATTTAGTAAGATTCATAACACCAATTAAGCTCGATTGAGTGGTATGGCAAAACCACATGAAAATGAATATTTACTAGTGAGTTTAAAATTAATATTATCAAATTTAAAAATACATTGAGTGAAGTGGACTAACAAATAAATACTAGTAATAATCAAATAAAATAGTCAAACAAATTAAAGGTCATTCAAGCCCAATTTCAACTAAAACATAGAAAATAATGTCCCTAATCCATCATTTCCATCACCCATAATAAAAAAAAGGTGAATTAACACACAAAAATAGTGAATATGAATAAAAAGATCATTGAAGCATTTCAACAAACACCTTATGAGCATAAAAGTTAAATAGAGTAGTTGGATTAAAATTAATTCATACCAATCACAAATCTATAACAATGTCATCAAGCATTCAACGTTAGAACATACTCCGTATTATATTATATATATAATCGAAAAATGGAAACAATTATTATGACCCTAAATACATAACAAATGCAAAATTATTGGAAAATGGAAAACTGATACGGAATAGTTAGCAGTGCAGCAGAACCCCAAGGCTTGAGCTTGGCTTGACAAATGGAAAAATAGATGATAACCAAACCAAGGGATGATAAGCCCTCCGTAAAAATGTAGATTTGGAGGAAGGTATTTGAAGAAGAAACAAAAGAAAATGAAAGAGAGAGGGGAAGAGCGTAAGGCAGGGAGATAGGGTGTAGATCGGAGGGAGAGAGAAGAGGTAAAAGAGGAGTAAATTTTAGGGAGTAATTTTTTTCCTTTTTACAGTGTGTATAGAGTGTGTACACAAGTGTGTACAACAATCATTTTTGAAATCATCCATAGTATAAAGAAGCAACTTTGCTATAAGTACCCCCATTTTGTACCCCATTTTATACCTCATCCTATTTTTGTGGCTCACAAAAGCCCAACACATTAAATGAATTGCTCCATTTTAATGAAGTGCACTTGTGAGTCACAAACATGGGGGGTGGGTACAAAATGGGGTACAAAATGGAGTAATCTTTATCATTTTTGATAAAGAAGTGCTAAAATGGGTAGGGGGAATCTTGGGACTCGAAATCTATAGAGTTATTCCTGGAGGACACAACCGTGAATGGTAGCAGACTAGCAGTCTGACAACGTGAAAGTAAAGAAAATGGTGGGGCCAAATAAAATGTAACCCCATTTTTGTTTAAAGTTTTGTCACATTTTTATTTGTAATTCAATTTTTATAAAAAAAAAATTATCAAAATCCATCATTTTTATGATCTTCCATATGACACCAATATTGCATTTATAAAATTTGAACAAAAATATTTAGTTTTTTAAACCCAAAATTTTTAGATCCAACATTTTTCTTAAATAAATTCAAATAGTAAAAGTAAGACCTCATTGTTAAAAGGGATAAGGGTCAGATAGGGCCTCGAACTCGAAAAAAAATGTCAAATAAGGTCATATTTAGGATGCTCTGTCCGGCCGACGCCATTTGGGGTGGTTCCCGATGGAATTTTTTGATGAAATTTTTTGAGCATCTTCCTCATTAAGTCTAGTTTACTCATACCAAATTTCACCTAAAAATGCAACCGGGAAGGTAGTCAAATGATTTTCCGAAATGTACGGGGTTGTTTAACTTCACAATTATCTTCAAAAAATCATTTGACTACCTTCCCGGTTGAATTTTTAGCTGAAATTTGGTATGGGTAAACTAGACTTAATGAGGAAGATGCTCAAAAAAATTCATCAAAAAATGGCATCTGGAACCGCCCCAAATGGCGTCGGCCGGACAGAGCATCCTAAATATGACCTTATTTGACATTTTTTTTCGAGTTCGAGGCCCTATCTGACCCTTATCCCTTGTTAAAATATTTCTATTTACATCATTCAATGATTTTTTATAAATAGATTCGAAGTAACAAAAAAACATTAATCTCCAAATGTATTCATTTTTAGTCGGAATGTTTGACTTTTCAAATCATAATTATCTGCAACAAAAAATTGGGAAAAATGATGAATAATAATAAAAGTAAGACTTTAATAATAATAATAGTAATAATAATAATAATAATAATAATAATAATAATAATAATAATAATAATAATAATAATAATAATAATAATAATAATAAAACTTTGTTGAATGAATATATTGACGGTGCTGGATTGCGGTACAAACTAAATTGATTGAGTGAATATGTATAAACTGGTGAAGAATTTAATTTATTGACGAAATTGGGTTGCAGTTAAACTAATATAGTTATAGTGCAAAAGGCGAAAGAATAGTTAGCTTTGTACGTATAGTTGGCTTTGTACGTAATGCATGGTTGCTTTTCTAAGAGTAGATTAGACAATTGAATTAATTTTATATATCAAATTCTAACTTGACTACAATAAATAAAATCACTTATTTTTTGAAAGAAGAACACTTATTTATTTATAATAATAGAAGTGACAAGAGACAAAACAAACCAATAGCTCAGAGCTATCTTAGGGTGAGACATAAAAATGGCTAGCATTTTAAGACCCGACAAGTTCTCTAAACTCACATTATAGTAGGCTAATCTAACTACATCGATTTACTTGCTACTAAAATAAATGGACATAAAACTAGAGTTATTAAATTAAAAATAACAAATAGAATCAAAACTCCTGGTTTTTCCAACCATCAGCAAGGGAGAAGAAGTTTGATCGGCCACCTCCAGAATGGTGAAGAGGTTTTCACAGCCACCTCCAAACGAAGCATCTTACTCCCAAGAACTAATAGAATTCCAGGCGGTGCTAATCCAGTAGCACCGCCGCAGAGCCGTTTTTGGGCCAGTTCCACCGACCTCCATACTAACTTCAACTTCCACCAGATTCTACAAATCCAATGCCCTACGTATCCTAGATTCCCCTTCGTCGAGAACCCTGGCTTGGTTGTGTTCTTCTTCCTCTCCGATCCCATTTTCCCTTTTCCTTTTGAAATCAACCCCTGAACCAGATAGCATGCCTCTGAAGACTTCTCTTTAATTCCTATTAGCTGCCCTTCCATCTCTCTTTCTACCCCTGCCGTTTGCTAGCTCACGCCCTCCTCACGGAAGAAGCCATTTAATCCCCGGATGAACCCCTCCGCACTGCATATCTGCCCTCATCCAAGGACCGTAAGACTTCTCTCCCACCCACGACCCCGAACTTGTATTAAATGGGCAATAGCTATCACCCTCTATATGGCCGAGAACCATATGGCCCAACACTCCACAGATGAAGCAAAGATTTGGAAGTATCTCATTTAAAATACGCCCACAACCAGCTATCACCCTCTTCTCATACACGTGTCCTTTTCAACGCATTCTTGATAATTATAGAAACATGGACTCAAACATACTCCTTACTTTCTCCTTTTAGAGTTCTTTCTTCAATTTGAATCAATTTCCCTAAGTAACGACCAATGCTTGTCGCTACTTTCGGCGTCATTAAGCTCAGAGGTAAGTTATGAATCTGAACCCAGAACTCTGCATGATCAAGCTCTACTTCTAGTGGTCTATCTTTCGCTTCCACCCTCCTGATGATAACTAAATTCTGATCGAAGGACCACGATCTGTCCTGCACACCCGAGAAATATCATTCTCTTGAAAAAATTGAACAAAAATTCGCTCATCTCCAATCTGTTTAATGCTCACCCCTCTACCCGGGCGCCATATCATTGTCATTGTTTCACGGAAAGAGATAGGCCGCAGTGCCGGACAGGTTTTTCCGTGACAACCCTAGCCACAACAGAAAATAGTGGGTTATCCCCATCCCCACCGCCAACCTCCAAAGCGCCATATTCAAACACTAATCCATTGTTTCCCTCTTCCTCAATAGACATCCTCCCATAATCAAACGATAAACTCTCCATAAATAAAGCAAAGAAAAAACAAACACTCATAAGCTTCTGGTACCAAGACTAAACAGATGAACCAGCATCACAAAAAACGTTTACACAGAAACGCACGAGACCCTCGGCCAGAGTAATCGCCTCAACCGGACAAAAAGAAAAAAAAACATAAAAAAGAAGCTAACGAAGGAGATGATATAACTTAATTAAAAAAAAGCCTTGCCAAGCTACTGATGTGTCGTCGCGTCGGCCAAGATCGGTGCGCCGCCACTGCTAGGGTTTGGTCATCGCATAGTCTCTATCACAACTTTTGTTTTTAGAGAAATGCTAGAGATACCCCAAAATGGGGTACCCCATTTGTACCTCACTCTATGAGTGACTCACAAAATCCCAACCCCACAAAACAATTGCCCCACTTAAATTCATTGCGTTTCTTAACCACAAAACTAGGGAGGGGGTACAAAATGGGGTAGCTTTAGAATTTTTCTTGTTTTTATATTCAATGTGTCGATTAAAACAAAGTTAAAATCACCGATTTTTTATAACTCTAAATTTATAAATTCTAATTCTATGTACTTCCTCCGTCCCGAATTATAAGATACTTTTCGGTTTATGATGTTTGACCGACGATAAAGTAAGCGGATCCCTGTCTGCACTCAAATTATTTTTAGAAAAAAAAAATATATATTCAGAAACTACATTAAACCCGCTACAAAATCTGCAAAAAATAATTCTAATTTCATAAAATTTTGATATATAAAGTAAGAGATTAAGAGTGATTTGTGCTGACCAAGTGAATAGTAAAAATATCTTATAAAATGGGACAGAGAGAGTAAAAAATAAGAGATTCAAACCCAAATAAAAGTGCAATTACTTTGAGTTAGGGGCGCACTTGGACCCTTAATCGTACCCGCGACACTGGATAATTAATTTATCTATCCCATAACCGCCATGTTAGCCATTGATCAATTTTCATCCAAATCATAATAGCCCCCAATGAATAACAAGTATGATCAGGGGCGTCTCTGCTGGGAGTTGGGCCAGGCAACTGCCTTGGGCCTCACTTCCCAAGAGGGCCACAATTTTTTTTTTAATATTACTATTAGCCTATAATATTAATTAATTAGTTAGGGAACAATAATACGAGTTTTTTCCCGGAATAATGCTAATTAAATAAATAATTCCCAAAATACTGCCGGGTCAAGAATAATTCCCGAAATACTGCTGGGGTTAACCACGGTTAAGGAAAGCCGCCACTCCAAGTGGCGGCTTTTGTACAGCTTCACAAAAGCCGCCACTCCAAGTGGCGGCTCTTCTACTTCTGTATGAAAGCCGCCACTCCAAGTGGCGGCTCTTGTGTTAACGAACCTGCTGCAACATCATTCAGACAACTAAACCTGTAATTACCAGAAAAACAGCTCATCACAAAATCACAGTCCATTCCATTCAAAAAACAACCAAACATATGATTTACTAAGACAAAATACACCCGAAACATAAAACGAATCAATGAAACTACATGACAACATACATCCAAAATACAAAACGAATCAATGAAACTACATATTATGAAACTTTCACAAAACGAATCAATGCACCACAAAATTGAGTATAAACCATAAAAGTTATAATAAATCTGGTGTTTCACAAAATGATTCGATCTGCCAGTGCATGCTACAACTTTCACACAATAATTTAAATACAAACATCATAAGTCAATGTGATCATCATCATCATGAAGTTCATGTGGCTGTGCTCGGGGACGCCTGCGCTGGTTACGAGGCTGAAGAACAACTCTATCACGTCGGACTGCCTGAGAAGACCCTGCTGCGGATGTAGATGCGGTGGAATGCTGAGAGGTGGCCATATATCCATAATCCACTCGACCCAATACATCAGCGCACAGTGAAACAATGCATGAACAAGCGTCATGGTATCCCTGTACATCTACCGCCTCATCAAGTATAGCAGTCGCTCTGTCATGGATGCTACGCAAAGCCCGTGTCTGTAATGCAAACATGGTTATTAGTGAAAAACACATGAATAAATAAATAAAGATATTTCATTGACTATATTGTTTACCGTCATATGAAGAGCGACTGAGCTAGGCTGGTAATGATCAGTGGGTAAACGAAAACTGGGAGAGATAAACACCCGTGTGATGGTGTAATACCATATCATGTAGTCTACAGAAGCTGTGGGGACTAATGATGGGATCCCGTCCACTATATATGCCGCTCTCTCATCCCACATAGTGATATACTGAATATGGCGCATCCCCCAATCTTCAGTGTGCTTCCCCCGTCTATCAATCTTGTGCAAATCCACAGATGTATCACAAGGTCTGGGAGTAATTTGCTGCAACCCGAACTGGCGTAGTACGCGATCAGGAAAGTGATGCTCCACTACATCAAAACATATCAAGGGCACACGTGCTCGCTATATCTCAGTGTGCTCTCGGGCAACAGGAGGCAACAGCCCTAAAATCTCATCAGTGTACGGCATCCACGTCATCTATAATATAAAATTATGTTAGACCATGGTTTATAAAAACATAAAACAAAGTACTTACATTTAATGATATAAATGATATACCTGATCATCACACAAGCGATCTAAAGCATCTCAGTAGTATCCTAATCCAGCAGCGGATGACGTGCGCGTGACATGAGCAAATAGCCATCTGACACACAGTAATGTATATGAATATAAAAGGGATTCACGTATGTCATACAAAAAAAATCATAAACATACCTACGACCCAAAGGATCCTCGCCACGAACATGATGTGGCCCAAGTACAGCGTGCTGATCCATATCATCATCAAGAGGACCACCATCTATCCCATGATATCGCAGTATGACAGGTCTGCCGATATGAATGTGCTCCCATGACCATAGCTGTATCAACAATAAAAACCCACCCATCTCTCCACCGTCACGATGGCATCCTCGACATAACTGCCGATATAGGTATGCTAAAGTCGCACTACCCCAACTATAAACTGCAGCTACATCAAAAGACTCCAGAATGGGTAAATACAAGACCTGCACCTCATTCCCGCTCTTGTCCGCAAACGTGGAAGCTCCCATAAGCATCAGAATGTAGGCTCTCGCGTACTGCTGCACAACATCGTCATCAGCATCAGCAGGTAAACCAACAAAATGCTCTCTCAACCAAGCCATCCTCAAGGCGGACCCCCGAATATCTGTCCCAGGGGTGGACACTCGAAGTGGCGGCTTTTGTATAACTATATAAGAGCCGCCACTCGGACTGGCGGCTTTTATAAAGATAGATGAAGAGCCGCCACTTGGAGTGGCGACTTTTCTTAACCATGGTTAAGCAAACAGTAATTCGGGAATTATTCTTAACCCAGCAGTATTCTGGGAATTATTTATTTAATTAGCATTATTCCAAGAAAAAACTCCAATAATACAGAACGGCTGAACCGACTCCAGTCTTCAATCGTATGTAATTCGTAAGCAACTACGGAGTAACTATACGGGCATATGGCTATACCGAAAGGCGACGAAGTTCGAACCGCGAGTAGCCAGACGGCTGAAATCAGGCCCTGCATCGGAGACCAACGTCCAGCACTCCGTCTCTGCGAAGTTGGAAGAGGCCTACAAGCCAGACGGCTCACCTGTGAGTATCTTTCTCTAATCTTTCTAAATTATGAATCTCTAAGACTCTAATTCCAGATTTCTCTAATTTAGGATTTTGCTTTGTAAATAATGAAATTGAGAATTTGAAAATTGAAATACGAGTACATGTTATTGACAGACCTTTTTGTTATTGCCTGCCATATTGCCGTGTGGCTGTGTGAGTCATTTGGGAATTGGGTATATGACCAATGAGAGTATGAGATTAAAATTGAAAAAGTATTGTGTATTTTGTTTAATCTTTGATCGTATTTATAAGAATATATTTTTTAGGATTTTGGTTAATTAATTAATTTGTTTGTGATTGATACGTAGTATTACTTATTTACTTTGTATTTTCTATAAATATTGTCATTAGAGTAGTCTTTAGTCTGACGGGGAAGCGGAAATTTGAGTCGGGGTCTACAAAGAGAAAAACAAATTGAGGAGAGATTTGGTTATACAATCGTTTGCCAGCTCTATGGATCGGTATGTAAAGACAAATCCTTCTTCCTCAAATACTGTTGATAATGACAATACAAATTAAATGTTCTTTTCCAAATGCTTGGATTGTTTACAGAATTCTGTTGACTATTCCGGTGACAGTTGCTACTGCGGAAAGAAGCTTTTCAAAGTTGAAGCTTATAAAAAAACTATCTACGATCAACCATGTCGGAAGATAGTGGCTTAGCTATGTTATCGATTGATAAAACGGTGTTGAGTAGTCTTGATTGCAGTGATGTTATTACTGATTTTGCACTTCAAAAAGCAAGGAGAATAGGTCAATAGGGTGTTACAAGTACAAGTTTACAATGTATTTTGCATATATATGTTTGCATCGTTGCATTTAAAAACTTATCGTTATGATTATTAAAAATATTATATTGTAAACTTTGAATATGTTTTTTGTCATGTGATGTTTTTTTATTCAATTTGTCACTTTTCGATATGATTTTTGCACCGTAGTTGTTTTTCCTGCCTAGGGCCTCTCAAATGCTAAAGACGCCCCTGAGTATGATTGTGGATGAATATCAATGTTTTTATTTTAAGAAGTCGAAAATGACGTCGCCCAGGTTACTCTTGACTCATGAAGTGAGACGTCAATTGAAAGCCTCATGCACGTCAACGAGGAAAAATCGATATGAATTAATTTAACCCCCTAAAAACATTTAAACTAGAAAAAGTTAATAAACGAGAAAAATCCAATAAGGCAATAATGACCAAATGTGATTCTTAAAGTCTATTATCCAACCACAAAGAGGTGGATTCTTAAAGGAAATTATTTCTTTAATGAATTGTAATGAAAACATCCCTATATACTATGTGTATATAGAGAAAGAGTGTTCGGTTTCAATAAAGAGTGATTTTTCTCTGCGAACGGATCAACTTTTTGCTATTCACTTTTATTCACTTCATAAAATTTTATCAAAAAACATTCATTCTAAATCGTCTCAAATGGATCGCACGGCAGATGTTCTCAGATCGACTTAACATGATCATTCTTCTATGTATACCGTGAGAGGCAACAAGCCAACAACAGTCTATATATAGGTGTGGGACAACATAGTGGAAAGGTGAAAAAACTCATCTTTTATAAGCGTGGAACAACCGTAAAAACAGGGATGGATCTAGGGGGGGCGGGGGGGGGGGGGGGGGGGGTCGCCCCCCTCGGGATTTTTTTTAGTATATATGTAGTATTTTATAATTTTTTTTTGTTTTACGTTGACCGAGTTAGTGAAGTTCGCCCCCCTTGACTTATAATTTTTTTTGAATTACCATATAGTATAATTAAAATTAATTTTAGTTGTAGAGTTTCAAAACTGAAATAATATTTTAACAAGTACAGAGTAGTATTGATCATTTAGATCAATTGGCTAGAATGTTATATTCTTAATAGTTTTAGGCCACAAATATAATAGTAAAAATTGTAGGGTTGTTAATTGTTAAATGAAAACAAAGTTAGGCTGTAACGCCCCAAAAAAAAAACTGGTCTAGTAGTTAAGATACATTTGAGTAGATTTTTAGATATTATTTCCCTATCAAATTTAACATCTTCTTAAAATTTTAATGTAAATAGTTTTAAAAGAAAATTATTATTAAAAGTAAAATAATAGATTTAAGATATATTGTAAGATAATAATAAGGGACGTGAGAACAACCAAATTAAATGACTTGATTTATTTGAGTGAATAATTATTTTGAATAGTAACAGTTAGGAGACAGATTTGACAAGCTAAATCAATTGTGGTGAAGTATTTTAAATAAAGGAATAGTAAAGCCAACTCATGGTATGGGCAAATGAATGATCATACATGCATGTATAGTACGTAGTAATGAGATAGAGGAAAAGACAATTCAATTATTTGCTTCATTAAAATCCTAGCCATACACATGAGATTTATTTGGCTTTAAATAGGAGCTTATTACCTCCTCTTATTTGATACACACGGCCCCAACAAAAAAAAAGTAAGAAACCAATTAGAAGAAACATAGCTGAAAGAAGAAGAGTGGTAGCCGTATAGGAGGTTCTCATATCAACAAAAATATCAACAAAAATATCAGGAGAATTTGTCTATAAGGTCCGTACGTTTCCTATCCCCATTTTTTTGCTAGTATTATATTATTCCGTCCCTGTTCCTGAGATGTTATGCGGATGATGAATGTTGTATAAGTTTAGAAATATTGTACATGCTCTGAATATGTGTATTTTAATTTATATGTAATATCAATTTTAGAATCATATCTGACTGTTATTCACTGATGTATATATTAAAAATAAAAAGGAGTAAGTCTACTGGAAATTATAAGAAGCTGTAACTTAAAGGTATCTACAAAATATAAACTGATATGTTTTGATACTCGTACCTGTATGCGAAGTGTATGTATTAAGTAGATGTATTAATAAATATAACTTCATGTAGTAGTTACATACTCAATTAATTATTTTATTTCTTACTCGTAATACGCAATATGAAGAAGAAGAATGCATGTATACGTATTTGTTTACACAACTTCCACGCACGTTTTATTATGAGATCATTTAATTAGTATTTAATAAATTGACTTTCGTAAATGAATAAAATATATAGTCTAAACTAGTTTTAGATATTTACTTACGAGTTACGAGTCATTATTTAATAATAGAGTTTTATTATGATTTTAAGTAAATTCTTTTAAAATAAAAGAAAACTTATTTCCTGGTCTGTATAAATTTATTTGAGTTTCGCTACATATACGCACTTCAGATAAGATCTGTAAGATTTCAACTATGTATACGAATCAGTTTATACACATACTTAATTATACTGCATTCGATCTGAATATTGAAGTACGGAGTATAAAAATATATTTATAAATTATACATTTATTTAGTGAATATAGAAGTAAAAGTGACCGACTTAGCTAAATAGGTGTATGCATATATGTGTGTAGTGCAATGATACGTGTAATGTTTATATTCTCATGCATTAACTAATTTAGCTAAAAGTAGCCATTTTTTCCTAGGTGCTAGATATATATAAATATGTGGCTAAATATTACACGGTTTAAAATTATAATAACATTTAAGACATTATATTTTAAAGTAGTACTGTTTACGTAAGTAAAAATAATAATAATAAGTTATATGAGCTATAAAATAAAGTACAAGTTGACCATGTAAATTTAAGACAAGTTGACCATCTAAAGTAATGGCTACGATTTGTTTGTTTAAGTTATACGAAGTATTTTATTTAAAAACAATTCGGTAGAGATGCTCCAGATGCTATGTAGTAATTAGAAATGTTATGAAAAGTTTTCCGTGTAAGATTAAATTATAAATTCTGAAGAACTCCTAAAAAAAATAAGATATGATAATTCCATCTTTTGTTATTATTTGTAAATAAGCTAAAGATAAATGTTTCTTAAATGCCTTACTCCTGATCCGGCACTCTGACACGAATACTCCTGATATGTCTGTTTAGTGTACTATGTACACTCCTGAAATTCTGTCTTAGAGGAATTAGTGTTCTCCTGTTTAGTGTACTATGTACACTCCTGAAATCTGTTTAGAACACTATTACTCTTCTGTTAAGGTTCGAGTCTCTTCGGTGATCTCGTCCTTTCTGTTCAGCTAGCTTCTGTTAGGGATTGGTATGTGTAGCTCCGGCGATTACGTTTCCATAACCTTTCTGGGTAATGTGGGTATGGACTTTATGTCTGTATTCCTTACCGTTAGTGTTCCTCTGTCTAGGTCCAGATTCTTGAGTACAAGGCTTAAATGAATATGTTTATAAATGATTCAGAATAAGAATTTTCTGATAATTATGATATCTGAATACGTTTCTGTTCTGTACAAAAGTAAAATAACAATAGTCTCAGAATAAAAATATTCTGATAATTATGATATTGGAATATGTTTTTGTTCTGTATATATATATATATAAATATTTGTATGCTTATAATAACTGCTCAGATCACCCAGGTATGTTATATGCTATCTGACTAGATGTGATTTCTGACATGTTTATATATGCCCTGATATGTTGATATTACAATTCTGATATGTTTATATGTGCCCTGATATGTTAATATTGTTGTTATTGTTATTACCGTACCACTCAGCACATTGCTGAGCGGGTAGTTGTTTGTTTTCCTACCCGTAGATTAAGCACGGAACTCGCTAGGAGCACTGGGATTGAAGGAGGCGTAGGACTCATTTGCATGTCATATTATTCGGTGTTTATTAAAGGACTTTAAAATGCCATATGCGATTTTAAGAACTTCCGCTGCATTCGTTAAAATATTTTGTGATGTTTAATATTAAGTGATTTATGGCGACTTGATATTTTCAGGTATTAAATAATAAATTGACATTTTGATAAATATATTTTATTTAAATACTTAATTTTGTTTAAATAACTAAAGTCTTTTGGTTAAATCTGTTTTGATTCCTGCCACGTGACACACCGCTTGGGTCGGCGGGGCCGGTTCGGGTAGGGTGTTACATAGGCAGCCCATTGACATTTCAAAACCGAGAACGACACTAAGCAGCAGCTCTCACCCTAATTTCCTAAAAGTGTGCATTTGCATATTATGTTCATTGCCTTGCTCACCGACTTCAGTTAACTTTGGTTGCTACTTCAAAAGAGGTTATTCCAGTTAGTCAATTCTTCTCATATTTGTCAACCATCATTAATTTGGTTCTTTGTTCTTGTAAAAGGGTTGATCAACTCAAAGACTTTGAGTCGCTACATATTGAAGAAATGATTGACACCGGTGACATAGAAACCGGAAAAGGGAAAAACCAAGTTGGCACTCTCCAACGCCCTGGAGATACCCGGTGGGGTTCACATTTAACTTCACTTCGAAGTTTGCAAAGGCCAAAGGATGTTCAATTCTACTTGTGATGTGTTACAAGACATTATTACATCTGGGAACCTGACACAAAGGAGTGAAGCTGATGGAGCATATGATGTGGTGACATCTTTTGATTTTGCATTTATTTTACATCTCATGATTGATGTGCTTGCTGACTTGCTGTGACAGATGATTTATCACAAGCTTTGCAACGCAAGTCTCAAGATATACTCAATGCAATTGGTGTCATCCACAACAGATATCCTTCAAAATTTGAGACAAAATGGATGGGATTCTCTACTGGAGAAAGTGAAATTCTTTTGCTCTCAACATGAAATAGAGATCCCAAATTTCAGTGCTCCATATAAAGCTGGGCGAGGTCGATCCCGCCCCTTGAGAAATAGCAGAGATTGTCTTACGATTGAGCATCATTATAAGTTTGATGTGTTTAACTCTGTTGTGGATAAGCTGATGCTAGAATTGAAGTACCGCTTCAATGATGATGTAGTGGAGTTACTTGTGTTGAGCTGTGCTTTGGATCCAAGAGATGATTACAAGTCTTTTCAGGTTGAAGACATATGCAAACTTGTGAACAAATTTTACCCTGATGACTTTTCTACAATGGAAAAGGAACACTTGAAGATCCAGTTAGAGCATTTCCTTTATGGTGCTAAACACAATCCAGAGTTGTAATAACTTCTTGGTGTCGACTGCTTGAATAATTGGTTTTGATTTTGTCATTTGAATTTATTTAATTCAATTTACAGTAAAATTTCCACAGGTCTGAGTACTCTTGCTCGCTTGCCGTTCATAGTATGTTTTTCCCCATTTGTTTTATATGCATTATTACTTAAACCAATTACTTCTTCTGAAAAATATGTTCTATTCAGCAGTTGACATTGAGTTTGGGCAAGCTTCTTGCAGCATTAAGGATTTTCTAGTTTGGGGATTTCGAAGAGTGGCAGATTATCTATTTTTGTTAATATTAGCTTATAAAACTATATGATTAGTTAAATAGAGTATCTCAGTAGAGTTGATATCTTCACTTTGTTTTTTTACCATCTAAATTTATCCTCTTCTTGATAGATTAATTCGTCTTGTACGAACTCTTCCAGTGTCAACTGCAACAACAGAGCGAGCATTTTCGGCCATGAAAATTGTGAAGACATGCCTCCGGAATAAAATGGAGGACGACTTTCTTTCAAGCTACATGGTTACATATATATAGAGAGAGAGATAGCTCGAGGGTTTTCGACAGATTCTATTATTGATGACTTTGATCTCTTAAAAAATCGTAGAGTCCAGTTTAGAATGCCTCTTTGATTGTAATATGGTAGATTTAATTTGTCAAGACGGAGAAACATGCTATATTTTGTAATTTAAACATTCTACGAGAAAATATGCTGCATTTTGTAACCAAAGACTTCGCCCCCTTGGGTCAAAATCCTGGATCCGTCCCTGCGTAAAAACGAGTCATCTCTTACCCGTTACACGATTAATGTGATTTTTCCGTTTTAACCAGTTCAATTCGGGTATCTCATCCCTACAAATACGTCTCTATTTACAGGGTTGCATGCGAGTATTGTACGCATAGTGTTCCGGCCAACTTATTGGCGTGGGTAAGTGGGATTTGCTGTAAAGGTAGCTGCTAGGATGTCATGCCTTAAATGGTTAGCTGTAAAGTAGGCAGCACAGTGAGAAGTTTGGTGTCCCAAAAGTCATATATTTGGTGGGTAAAGGCTGGTTTGCAACACATTCTGAAAATCACTTTTCGGCTTTTTTGGAAGCAAAAGCCAAAATAAGTGTTTGCATCTCACTGCTTTTCCGTTCGCAGAAGCCAGAAGGCAGAAGCCAGAAAGCAGAATTTAACTTGGTAATTTGGTAATTCTTGAGAAGTTGGGGGCATTTATATTGTTAATATTTGTTGTATCCCATTAATGCCCTTATCTTTATTCTTCTTTCCTTGAAACATCGATCGCATACGGAGGTATCACACCTCTCTCCCTGCTCGACAAATGAAGCTCCCCACCCCTAACGAATTCTGGTTTGGAAAACCCATAGACCCTAATTATTAACGCAGAACAATTGAAGCAAGATGCGAAGATGGTTTAATGGAAAATGGAAAACATTGAAGCAAGATGTTACGAAAATGGTTTAATCGGAAAAATCCAAGCTAGTTACGGCAGAAACAAGGAGCAAAGATAACTGGCCGATGTTTAATCGAGACGAAAATCATTGAAGCAAGATGCAATTTTTTCCCAACCCTAGCCAACCTCGTCTTGGAGTAGACATTATCGCAGGGGAGATAGCTGCGTGCGGCCAAGGATGAAAGGAAAGAACGAAGGTTTTCGCTGGGAAGTTACAAAGGTTTAAAGAGAGAGGGGGCATTTTAGTACATTCATAAAAACATACATCAAAAATCACTTTTTTATCAAACACTCCAATTTCAACACTTTTTATATAATCACTTTTTTCCCAAACACTAACAGCTTTTACAATTAATCACTTCTCCTCATTTCATTTAAAAAAGCACTTTTTTTAAAGCAGAAGCTGTTGCAAACACTCCCTAAGTTAGCTTTGATCGCCAGATGTTCAAACAAGCCTTATGTTCACACATCCCAAATTGTCTGTGACACTAAGAAAAAATTCCTAAAATTTTGTCAGTGTCATAATCAGTCTTAACAATTAGAAAGCATTGTCTTAGACACTACAAATAAAATAGGGAATGTACATAGACATGTACACATGCATACGGCGTGTACAAAAAGAATTTTTCATTAAAGGACAACCTGTATACCTTTCGGTCTGATGTTACAATTGAGAAAATGCGTTCCATTTGTGATGGCCAATGCCCGATGGGCACTCCCCCTTTCAACCGCCTATTTGAATTGTTTATAAGTTGTCTATAAACTAGGGAGTATAAACTAGTCATAATTACATTCAGTGGTTAAGATGTTTTGATACTCTCAAATTTTCAATATTAAGATCTTCAGTGGCAAATTTTCTCTAAAATTTCAAGGAAAATTTAGCAAATGGTAAGAATGTAGATGAATACCAAAGCATTTCAAGAAAATTGGGAAGTGTTAAAGACGGTATTTCAGAAATATCCTAGTCTTATAGAAAAAACTTACCGAATGTACTCTTTTCTTTTCCAAATAAGCAAAAGAGTTATTGAAATTAATATATCGAATGGGTTTTTCATTAATTCAAAGTACCCATTTTTCTATAGATACAGATTTTTTATCCTTGATTATACGAATCTTATTTAATTCTAACTCTGTAAGTGTTAGGGCCTCACATGCTTATCATGGTTTGTTTCTAAAAATCATATTCTCCTTGGAGTAGAAAATCTACAAGTGGATAAAAATTAACTTTCCATGCAATAGATATGGCACAATTGACAACTGGTATGTTACCTAACTTTCCATGCATCTTCCAAAAAAACAGCATTTCATTGCAGGCCATACTTAGAAATCTATGGCATCAACAGGAAGAGAAGTAGCCCTGTTAAGTGAATGAGGAAGCAAATCCCCTGTGTAGTGACTTTTTGCACTGACCATGTCAAATGGACTATACGAACCGAAACCTGTCTCATTAGTTTTGACAGCATTGTCGCATTTGATGAGATTTTTCCTTGCTATGCTTAGCAGGCTAGAAGTTGCTAAAATTCTCTCATTCTCATTAGCCTCATCTACCTTAAGTTTTGGTGAAAGTCCGAGGTGATGATCCTTTAGCCCCCTCAACTGCATTGCATACTTGGCCTTAAGCCACCTCATCTCTTGCCTAATGTCATTCTCATAGTCTTTAATCACAGTTCTTGCTTGTAAAGAGTTTGCTTCAGTTGAATCCCTCATACTTACGCACTTGTTAGATTCTCGTGGGGCCCCTTCTGAGACAGATTCATCATACTGGAAAGTGATTTCCTCAAAACGGCCATGAACAGCTCCACACCCACCATGCTTTGATTGTTGAAGAACTTCCAGACTGTGAGAAGATATGCAGTCCCGAAGCGAATCATAATCATCAGCATCTGTTGAATTGGGAGTTTCATTGATTTCCGAACTACACTTCCAGTCAGGCACTAGGGAAATAATCTCACCGTCAATCATATCAGATATCTTAGTTACATCTTGATCAGTAATATCTAACTCAGATACCATCTCACTAGCCACACTCATTGCTGTATCCTTTTCAAGATCAAAAGGAAAGTAAATATTACGCACACGACCTGAGAAAATCAGTGCAGCGTGTTAAGCCATCTACAGTGGTCAATATTCAATATGAAGATACAAATTCAAGTATAAGGCGTAAGACTACTTTTCATGTCAAAATGATATTTTAGGATGGAAATGTACATATCAGAGCCAATTAAACTCAACAAAAAATCAGTCCAACTAAGACCCAAAAGACACTCGGATTTCAACATTAGTCTGCTCTAACGAGTCACTATTTTGAGAGGAAATGTTAAGCAATTCCAAATCAGTAAAATAAAGGATACAGACTCATAGATGCAAGGGGATGCTAAGCTGTCTCAAACATGTAGAATATAAAAAATACAAGGTCACATATAAAATTTTGGACTATACCCCTATGAATTTGACCTTTGAGCTCAATTACCTTGCAAGTATATTAGGGCATCTCAAACCAATAAAATGTAAATATAAAATATCACATATAAAGTTTGGGATTACTGCACTTATCATTTTGACCTTTTAGCAAAAAGCAAAACAATCTTCTCTGTGCTCATACTATTGAAAACTTTACTAATTTAAAACCAAGTAAAGATAATTGATTTGGGACAGCTGAAACAATTAACGTATACCTTGTTTATCAGCAATCCTGAGCCTGAGAAAGATGTCATTGTCTTCTTTCAACTGGCCTTCAATTGATATGTCAAGATCTTCCAAACTATAATGACTGTCGTGGCTTACAAAGAGGTCAATCTCATTCGTATGGAACTCCCTGGGATGACAATTATCTTGTTCAATCCCACAACAATTAGGGTTGTCATTAACCAGAGAGCAGTTAGTGTGACTGCATTTCAAGAGTGGCTGTACTAATGACATGGGACCAGTGTCGTTGCAGTACTCTTTATAATCTAACAGTCTCAAATCAAATGAAAAATCATCTACTTGTAGAAATGGGTCATCCAGAAGCTCTCTTGCAGATAGTCTGTCAGAGACAGCAGCTAAGCATTTCTCAACAAACCGACGCACTTCAGGATCAGTGATTTTGTAAAGGGCGTCTGGCTTTTTCCCCTGCACCAAAGTAGTCCATTTGTTGATAGAAAATTTGAAGATGTAAAGGCTCAATGAGGCAAATAACTTCCATAGTTTTTGTTCTTACAGAAGTCACTTTTTTGTATATCTGTGCCGGGTGAGTGCACTCGCTATATGGATATTCAAATGTCACGATTTCTAAAATACACATTCCGAACGAATAAATGTCAACTAATTCATTATACTCCTCGGCATATACTTCCGGAGCCATGAATTCTGGAGTTCCTGCAGAAAAAAAGGAAAATATTTTACAACAAAATTATATACTAGTACGTTTTTTATATAGCACCGTCATTGTTTTTACTGAGAATAGAACTCACTCATTCCTAAAAGATGAGTTTTAAATACTTATTCTCTTAAGACTAGAAGAGTTCTATTTTTTGGATAAAATTAGGGGGCTCCTATTTTTTTGCAAATCACTCATGTTTTACTTCTATTTGCAGCAACTTCATTATTAGTACTCTTAAGAAAACTCCAACAAAATAAATATAGACAAGCGATTTAGTCTATTAATGAGTTCCGAATATATTGAAAGAGGTAGATTACCAACACAGTGCGCAGCATGGGATTTACGGAGAATGGCAGCAAGGCCAAGATCACCAATTTTGACCTCCCCCTGGTTACCGTTAATAAAGATGTTGTCACACTTGAGGTCTCTATGTATGACAGGAGGGTCACAGCTATGGAGGTACATAAGGCCTTCTAATATCTGCTTGCACCAATGCTTTACTGCTCTAATGTTAACCTTCTTGTGTTTCAGACGATACCTATATTACTCCATGTGATAAAACAAACCATATGTAACAAACTGAATTCAAGAAATAACTTCTTAATTCATATACGGAGTATAATGTTGAAGGATTTGTCCAACTTGGACAAAAAGTGATGTAGCAAGTTACATTGGTAAATAAAAAACTGAGCAACTTTTCTTATAAAGGTGTGACATTTTATGATGAAACCTTTATATTATAATATCTAACCTTTTCATCAAAGCAATAAAACATTAAGAAAAGAAAAGGAGTAGCAGCTTACTGTCTTAATGTACCAGAGGTGAACATTTCAGTCACAAAGTTGATGTTCCTGTTCTCAACATCAACCCAGGAAGTGTAAAACTTCATGATGTTCTTGTGCTTTAGGGTCTTCAGCAGGTGAATTTCACAATATAACCTCTCAAGATCTTCTGGGTTTTGCATAAAGTCATAAAGTTTCACCTGATTCCAGGCTACTTCTATTCCCTCATACTCATCAAAAGCTCTATAACTGCCAATATAATAAAACCACAAGTAAACAGACCAGCCTCAAACAAATAATAATAATAATAAATTTTAGTAATGATTAAGCCAATTAGTACCAAGATTTGAAGCTACTAACCTAAACAGTAAATCAATAGATACACACACACACTGAAGAAAAGATTGCAACTTTCTGAAGGAGGATATACAGAAACTGGGACTTACACAGTCTTTGAAGCCCCTTTACCAAGAATTTCATCGTACTACAGGTAAATAAACAAAGAAATGAACAAACAAACAAAAAATTAGAAATATATAAATAACTTAATGAAATAAGAAGGGAACAAGAAAGGAAGACAAACTAGGCATTCATACTCTTCCATATCTTCCTGTAGGATCAACCTCAACAAACTCAGAATCATCTGCTTCTATCTCAGTCACAATATCCATTTCTCAACTTTATTCTGAGCTTATTTTGCTGCCAGATTATGAGCATTTATAATGATGGTAGGAAGAGAAGAGAGAAAGGAACATGGTTTGGCACTCCTCAAGATTGAATAGAGTATGAAGGAAGACCCGTGTATTTGCTCATAAAAAGGGACATATTCCGTACATAAAAATCTTTAGGTTAGTACATACGAAGTACATGCTCCAAGGAAGCTCCAAAAATGGCAACAAGGCAAACACGCCTCCTGAGATTTTAGGCCAAATGGGTTTCTTTCCGGCAAACTGCGACAAAAACGGCTCAACTTATTTTCCAGCTCCCTTTCTATGGGCTGGAAGTGGAAACCATTTCTTACGCGAAAGGCTCTGCTTTAACATCACAATTTAGGGCCACACAAATTTCGAATCACACTTGCAATATGTGTATTTTTGGGGTTGAGCATCTGATAGCACAACGGATCTAATTTAATTAAAGGAAAATGTACAAATAAATATGAATGTAAGAACAAATATATCAATGTTCTATTTTTTGGAACAAATATATCCTTGAAGTATCTGTTAAAGTACATATATACCCAGTGGTGTAACTAGGGAATAAAAGTATTGGGGGCAAAGTAGAAATTAAGGGTGGACATGTCGGTTTGCAATTCGGTTTTTATCGACTTCGATTCAGTTCGATTTGGAACGTGTTGAAAGAATTATTACCAAACAAAAATCATACTATTTTTCGGTTTGATTTGGTTCGGTTTGAATTTGTTATGGTTTATAAATATATGAAGTTTTTTTTGAATTTCTTTAGTTCAATTCGGTTTTGTTTGGTTTTTATCGGTTTCGGTTTGGTTCGGTTTATTTTTTTGTTTTGGTTTGGTTCTATAGTTAGCTATCTTACATCCTGATATTCATTAGCTATTTATAAGTTATAACTATTTTTAACATTAGATTGTTAATTTAACTTACTGAAGTGAGCATGTTTTTACTTGGAATGTTTTCGGTCCCAGACCACCAGACCAGAATTAAACAGACCAGACCAGTTCGGACTATACCAAACTTCAATAGTTATAAAATACACAGAGACCAGACATTTACCAGATCATACCAGCAAATTTCAGTTCAAGTCAAAACATCCTTACTGTACTAACATGTTTTTAATTGAGATAAATTATATTGTTAATTAACAATATTTACTATAAAGGCTTGGAGATAAAATCTACCTACCCGAGCACACATTGACACTAACATATTCTGATTACTAACATACAAGTTATATAAATACAAATTACAGAAGAAACTCTAAATTCACTATGAATGGGTAAGGAATACAAAAAAGTCAAAAGAAAAAACTGCAGGGCAGGTGGTAATGGAGAACTGGAGAAGAAAGTTTGGGGTGACTGGAGCAGGTGATATTAATCTAAGAAAAATAGGTGATGCTATAAAAGCACAGAAGGATAGAGGTGATGAATTTAAAAGGTTATTTGTATTATTTGTTGCTTCTCATTTATTGGCACCAACCTCTAATAGGACAGCTAGTTTACAATTGGTAGTTGCATTAGAAGATGCTGGTAAGATCAAGGATTTGAACTGGTGTGGTTATTTACTCAAAAAGTTGTGCAGTGCAGTGGAAAGGTTCAAAAGAAATGCTGACAATGCATTTAAGGGAGGATGTTTGTTGCTTCTCCAAACTTTGTATTTTCAAAGGTTAGTGTTCAAAGGAGTTGACGTTCCAAAATCATTGCCGTTGATAAAGAATTGGAATTCTGAAAAAACGAAAGCAAGGGTAAAAGATGAAATTAAAGCTGGTGATTTCGGAAGAGGCCCAATTGATTCTGGCTACCCGATCTCGAAACAGAATACTCTTCTTCAAAAACAAATTGAAGTATTCAACAATGAAGAACATGGGTCTAGGTTCATCAGATACGATATCCCGGAAGGAATGCCCACTGATGATGATATTATCAGAACAACAAAAGATGTGAGTATTTATTTAGAAGTTCTTATATATTGTTTAAAATTTAACCTTTATTATTAATGAGTAATCTGGTTTTTAGGAAAAGTTATTAATTAATGAATTGGTTTCTGTTTTTATTTTGATTTGTTTAGGAGAAAAGTAAAACTCTGATGTTGGTGAAAAGGGATGTGGAACTTGTGTTCCTGGCTCATATGTCTCCAAGGCAAGAGATAGACACTCAAGAACAACTTAGCCAGAACCAAAGCTCCCAATCCACAAACAATTCCGACAAAATTTTTAATGACCCATTGACCCTAAAACGTTTGAGACTGTGGATGTTGTAGTTGATTGGCTGATGGATATCAAGAATAGCACACAAGAAGAGAACATTAACAGAAACATTGAGATGGAGGATGGTGTAGTTGTAACCGAGAAGGATGTTTTTGGGAATGAAGAAGGGCAACAACCAACTGAAAAACATGCTACTGTGAATCAAGAAGCAGAACAGCCAATTGAGAAAGATGTTGATGTGCATCAAGAAGTGGAAATCCCAATCGAGAAAGAAGCTGGTGGTAATGAAGAAGCAGAACAGCCATGCAAAGATGAGAGCAATGAACCGAGAAATGAAAAACGCATTACATTCCTATCTCATCTCATGAAGGACAGGCGTTCTAGACGTTGGCAATCAATGAAATATTTTGATAAGCATCTTGTGGACTACTGTTTTTACGATGATGGAATGCAAAAAGAGTAAGAATTAATAAGAAATACTTTGTAGTAATTTACATATATAAAAAGCATAGACTATTATATAAAAAGTTACAAATAATCAGTAATTAGTTACTGATCCTGTGTAATAAGTTCATATGTTTCTGTTTTGTTTTCTAGTGAACTCATTATCACGTTCAATGGAAGTCTTTATTTAACAAAGGAAGATATGATGGGCTTGGGTTCAACATGCTTTATACCTGCTTCAATTGTGAACTGCTGGACATATTATTTGAATGAAGAAGAGCTGACATCCGAGCAGGAAATGGGGAAAAGATTCTTCTTTGGGATTACACATTCAGTAAGAAATAATACTTGATTTTTTACACTTATAATGCATTGCTAAAATAGTACCATAAATTATTAAGTGTTGAGTGGTAAAATCTTGGAGTAGGGATTAATACCATACAAAATCTTTGTGTAGGACATATTCAGTAAGATAATAAAAGAGGGATTTGATAATGCATCAAGGATTGCTTTACATAAAGTATGTGAAGAATGGGTTTCTGTGAATAATCAACAGTGGAACATTGCAGAGGGAAATTTTGTAAGTAATTATTTCGCTAAAAATTGAAAATCAATCGCAAAAGTATAAAAATTATATAATGTTGTGGATGTACTTGCAGTTTGTGATTCCCTTTCTGTACAACAACCACTATCTGTCCCTTTTTATAAATACACTGTCAAATAAAGCACAATTGGTGGACTACAGGATAAAAGAGGACATCAGTCCTCTTAAATTTATAGCTGGAATAATGGTAAAAGTTTTTAAATTTTCTTTTTAATTGATTTAATTATTAATCTAGGACTAAAAAACATTATTGTTTTAAACAATTATTTCAAAATAGTGCTCAGAGATGTCGAGCTACTTGAACAAGAAAAAGCACTCAAAGGTTAAACAAATGCCAAAGTATGTGTTTGAAGAAGTCAACTTTGATTGGAAAATTAAGAGAGAAAGTAATGATTGTGGTGTGTACTTGCTGATCACAATGTTCTTGTTAGAGGGAGTGAGCTTCAAGTATACTCTGAGCAGGGTTAATTAAGTTTTAATTATATTTGACGATATTATTATTTTTAGTTTGTTTTGGTCATATAACGAACTAATAATATTATTTGAAACAGGTGGAAGACAGAAAGTTTCACCGCGCAGAGATTTGCTCATACCTTACGGGGTTCCAAAAAAATGAAATGAAAAATGAAGTCAAGAACAAGATTGAGCAGTTCATGAAAATGAAGTCAATAAAAGAAGGGAAAAGGGCATTGTAATTAGGGGTGTGCACCGGTCCAAAACCGGACCGGAACCGGAATCATCATTTTCTTTGGACCGAAGACCGGACCTAAATCTAACCGGTCCAGACCTGAATTTTCCGGTCCGGTCCGGTTTTGACCCTAATTGACCCGGTTTTAAAAAATAAATATTATCTTAGAGTGTTCTTAGTTGGCCCCAAATGTTTTTAGGAATAAGGCTTGGATGTTGTTCTAAATTATAATTTTATGTGCGGATATGCTAAATAGACTAAATAATTGTTTATCTAGCTCATTTATTATTTTTGGTATATAGTTATCAAAACTATTCAATCGTAACAATTAGTTTCCCACAATAATTAAAACTACAATCTTTTGTGTATATTAAAATGCAAAATCTATTATAAAGTAATAAAACCTAAATTAAGTCCAAAAATATACTACGTATAAACTACATGTGCACCTGCAAATAAAGAAACAAATAAAAAACAGAAAAATCACATAAATAAATAAATAAATAAATAAATAAATAAATAAATAAATAAATAAATAAATAAATAAATAAATAAATAAATAAATAAATAAATAAATAAATAAATAAATAAATAAATAAATAAATAAATAAATAAATAAATAAATAAATAAATAAATAAATAAATAAATAAATAAATACATAAATAAATAAATAAATAAATAAATAAATAAATAAATAAATAAATAAATAAAAACTTAGGAAATAATTAGACACCAAATATACACTTCGTATATATTCATTTATATAATAAAAGACAAAAATAAGTCATAAACATAATGACTAATGATACAAAACCAAGTATATATTTTACGGGAAAGAAGGTTACCGGTCCATTCCGGTCCGGACCTGTTTTTTCTGGGTTTGACACGGACCGGACAAGAACCCGGAATCTTACAAAACTAAGGACCGAAACTCGGACCGGTTTATACCGGCCCGGTCCGGACCGGTTCATTCCGGTCCGGTTCAGGTCTAAAATACGGTCTGACCCGGTTAATGCACAGCCCTAATTGTAATTACTACTCCATTACTTCATTGAATAATGCATTATATGTTCTTAATATATGATATGATTGTCCAAGATTATGCTTCCACCTGTTAGGTTTCAGTCATATAAATAACAAACAATATTATGCTTCTAAATATATTAGTATGTTGATACATGACTCTGTTTTATGTTGACAGGTGAGGAATACTATGAGCCTGAGCGAGTGAATGAAGATGAAATTGGGCATGGGAATTTTCAAGTCATGGAGAACATAACATGTTGAATTCATTTTTGGAGTTCATTTGGTGTAATTTTTTCTTTTCAAAGTGTATATTTTAGACTAAGAAGAACCTTGTTATGGTATAACTTTGTGATACTTTCTATGGTAGAACTTATTATGATGACTGTGGTTCGAAGGCTGTGGATTCCAAAAATTATTACTTTGTTAAACCTCCAAAAT